TGGCAGGAAGGTAAACGGCGTTTCTGTGCACTGCTCTGGTTCGCCAGAAGTGGCTTAGTCATGCTGGCCACATGACCTGGAGGCTGTACGCCAGCTCCCTCGGCCAATAAAGCGAGATGAGCGCTGCAACCCCAGAGTCGGCCACGACTGGACCTAACGGTCAGGGGTCCCTTTTTAGGTTGGTGGTCATCATTGTCTCCTGTGGGAACTCAATCTAGAACAGGCCATACCCCACCCCCAACTCCCAGGCACAACAACTACCCGTCAGAAGTGCTTTTGCTTTGTTGGGACTCCATTTCAGCTTACTGGCTCTCATCAAGTCCATTCTTGCCTCCAGGCATCTGTCCAGCACCTGCTCAGCCTCACTTGGTTCCGCTATTATAAAAAAATATTACTGACCTTCATTTGCATTTGATGATGCTGTGCTCCAAATCCCCTGATGACTGCTCCCACCAGCCTCATAAGAGATATGAAATACCATGGAGGACGGAAGCCTGTGAGATCCTACATCACCACAGGGGCAAAGCAGAACCACTTTGGAAACTGCCCTGAAGGTAGGAGTGGAACCACCACAACCTCCAGCTCCCAGACCAGTGAGAATACCAAGGTCAATAGTATCAAAATCAGCTGAGAGATCAAGGGGGACCAGCAGGGCTCTACTCCATCATCAACCAGGGCTGTCGCAGTACCAAAACCAAGCTTGAAGTCAGAGTCAAATGTGCCCACGTAATTATAATTACCCTCTCCTCTACATGGTGAGACACTGCTTTATGTATATGACATCGGTGCTGAAATATCTGCACTAGCAGCCTATTAGCTACCAAGCCAAGGTTCAGCTGTTGGCATTCGGACAACTCTCCACCCCTCCCCCGGAATAGGTCAAGCCAGTCTGTACGATCTTTCGGAGAAATCCTGATGGTTATTCCACTATCCGCAGATTGTCACTTGATGACAAGGTGGGAGGGGGCCATCTCGGTGACAACACCCAGCCTTCTGAATGCACTCCCTTGAGTAAATCAAGAGGCAGAGACAGGAATTACCGTACTTCTGACCACCTCTTTCAAATGTATATATGCTTTCTTAAGCTTTCATGGGCCCTGCATTTTAACAGTGTTTTGTACACTGTGAAGTTTCATCTGCAATATATAGCTTTGTTTTATCTTGTTTGGGGGGGAACGTTAGCGAATGTTAACGCAGTATTTTTATTGTTTTATGTAAACTGCACTTTGTGGTGTATATTTTTAATAATAAATAAAACCAATAAACCCACTAGATCTAGTTGAAGATGCCTCCTGGGGAATTGATCTTCTCATCCCTGCCTGGTGAAAACCTACTACTTCTTCTTTTTCTTGCACTCATTTCATTATTATCCCACCTTTTTTCCAAAATAGAACTCAAAATGGCACATATAGTAAATCCCAAGTGATCTCCCCTGCATGAACGGACAAAGACCTGTACCTGTGTTGCTTCAACCTTGCTACATCACTCATCTTCCAACCATGTCCTAGGACTTGAGGTTTTGCTGTTTTAATTTTTATTGTAAGAAATTTTCATCTTTCTCAAGATGGACTTTAAGTTTTTACAAGTTTCTTTAAAAAAAAAATCTTCTAAGAACTCCCAACTACTGGCTGATGAGATTATCTATTTAAATGCTGTGTTATTCATAACAAATTTTATCATTTTACTAGTTTTAAGAATATTATTATTATTATTATTATTATTATTATTATTATTATTATTATTATTATTATTATTAACAAGAATCAAGAAAGTTATTGTTTACCCGGAATTTTTGAAAGTCAACTTTTCTAGAGGAAGGCAACTAAGAAAAAAATTAAGCGGCAATCCCAAACACTTACTTGTTAATGTGCCACTTACTTGGGAGTAAGTCCCACTGAATTCATTGGGATTTACTTCCGAGTAGGCATGCATCAGGATTGTGCTGTTAGTAAGTGATTGTAATAATTGCAAAAGTGAACAAAAAGCAAAACAAAACAAAATAAAAATAATCCTGTTGTTCTCTAACGGCCTCCATCCCAACCTGAAACAAACTGATTTACTGCAGCAAGCAAAAGCTTGTAAAAGGACGCAAGACAGCTGAAAAATTTGACAGGCATTATTAAAAGCCAGGGGATTTGTATCAGCCATTTTCCTTTAAAAGGTGCTTTGAAGTTGGCTATCTTTCATGTACTTCTTTCATGGCACATTAACAAAGAAAACCGAGCGGAGGTAAATCAAGTCCCAAGGTCACCTCTAGAGTTACAGCACCCTGGGTACCCTGATGAATTGAGAATTAATGCTGCATGAGCAGCAAATATAATAATAAAAACGATGGGCTGTTAACCAATCAAGTTTTACAAGTGGATCTGAACCCTTTTTATCTGCAACCGGAGCAAATACATCTTAATCCCCCCAACCATGGTCTTGAAATATAATTATCATAATGCAAACCCCAAACGTTAAATCACCCTTCAAACTGAGAGTGCTGTGAAGCAGAAAAGTAAATGTAATTAGGCTGGGTGAAACATTAGAAACAGAGGAGGGCAAGGGGACTTGAAAGTGGCAAAGTCCAGAGAGACTAATGCAGATATTTGGAAATGTAACACACATTAAAGTCGAAAGGGGCACGTAAAGGTTTGCACAGACACATATAAAATACAAAAGAACGAGAACCGTAAACTAAAACTTTCGCCAGTCAGGGGCCCACTTCAAAGCTAGGAAGTGATTCCATTAGGAAAGACCAAAGCGTTTAATACTGATATTTAAGTCGCTTAAGCAATGGAGTAGAATGCACTGGAAATTAGACGCTCAGTGGATTTTGCTTAATCTCTTTCGGCATAGTTAAATGCTCCCAGATGACCGGTGGCTGCAAATACAGTACTACCAATTTCTCGAAAGCTGGAACAGGAAGAAGTGCTTGCCCAAAGTGAATGAATAAGCACATGGCTCAAAAACTAATAATATAGGCAAATTTCAGGGAAGACAAGCGGCAGATACAGAAAATCTGTACGTATTGTTTACTTGGTAACACTGTTTTCATCAGCCAGCAGTCCAGGGTGGTAAAAGATGCACTAAGGACACAATCCTATGTATATCAGCACAGCATTGAGCTTCATGTAGAGGATTGCAGACCTGGTTCATCAAAATCCATTCAATTTCAACATAAACATTTCCAGAGTCATCCCACATATTTCAGTGAGATAAGCTAGAATTAGGGAAGGGTCATGGCTCAGTGGCAGGACACCTGCAGAAGGCCCTAGCTTCAATCCTTGGTATCTACAGGTAGAACTAGGAATGTTCCTTGCCTGAAAATTTGGAGAGCCCCTGCCAGTCATTGCAGACATACTGAGCTAGATGGACCAACAATAAGGCAGCTTCCAATGATCTAATTCCATTAGGTTTCAATCTTAATTCCATTTACCCAGGTGTAAGCCCAGTTGCAAGGGACGCGGGTGGTGCTGTGGGTTAAACCACAGAGCCTAGGACTTGCCGATCAGAAGGTCGGCGGTTCGAGTCCCCGCGGCGGGGTGAGCTCCCGTTGCTCGGTCCCTGCTCCTGCCAACCTAGCAGTTCGAAAGCACGTCAAAGTGCAAGTAGATAAATAGGTACCACTCCAGCAGGAACGTAAACTGCGTTTCCGTGCGCTGCTCTGGTTCGCCAGAAGTGGCTTAGTCATGCTGGCCACATGACCCGGAAGCTGTACGCCGGCTCCCTCGGCCAGTAAAGCGAGATGAGCGCCACAACCCCAGAGTCGGCCACGACTGGACCTAATGGTCAGGGGTCCCTTTACCTTTACGCCCAGTTGGGTTCAATAGCACTTACAGGACATGGTTAGGATTTCACTGTTGGGCAATTGACCTCAGTGGGATTTATCTAAGTAAACACACAGAAGATTTCAGCCTGAAGCACTTCACTTTCTATTATTAAGATAGGCTGTGGTGCATCTGCAGTGGCAAGCCTTCCTCTGCCCCAGCTGCAACAAATCATGTCTCTCCAATATAGGTCTCTATAGCCACAGCAGGCGCTACAATCTCCCAACAGTTTCGCTTCAACCCCAAAGATGCACTCCTCCATTGTCTCCCAAGACAGGTGGGTGACGACAAAAACATGTCACCTGGAAAATTGTAATTTGCAATGCATTGCCCAGTCCAGTCAGGAACTATGGGACATGGGTGGCGCTGTGGTCTAAACCACTGAGCTTCTTGGGCTTGCCAATCAGAAGGTCGGAGGTGCGAATCAACGCTACAGAGTGAGCTCCCGTTGCTCTGTCCCAGTTCCTGCCAACCTAGCAGTTCGAAAGCACGCCAGTGCAAGTAGATAAACAGGTACTGCTGCGGTGGGAAGGTAAACAGCATTTCCATGCGCTCTGGTTTCTGTCACAGTGTCCCGTTGCACCAGAAGCAGTATAGTCATGCTGGCCATATGACCCGGAAAGCTGTTTGTGGAACAACACTGGCTCCCTCGGCCTGAAAGTGAGATGAGAGCTGCAACCCCATAGTCGCCTTGGACTGAACTTAACCGTCCAGGGGTCCTTTACCTTACCTTTATGAAGACAATCAGGTCTACATATGCATTCCCAAACCTTTGCTAGTTGGGAATACTCCACCCCCCCCCCCAAATTAAAATTGGTGAGTGTTGTAGAAATTTGCCTATGGTACAATGGTTAACATTTGCATTCATTGCTCCAATCAGTTTTGCCCCTTGGCCTCACCCAGCTGAAAAGTGTTCCCCGTTCCTGCGCTGTACCATGACCATAATTATTGGGACTATCAATGAACTGTTTCCTTCAGTTTGTTTCTACAGGCCCTCTGGAGACTAATAATGATGATGATCATGTTCAATGTCTCTTTGTTTGTTTTGAGGTTTTGCCTGAAAACAGCTGGACCGAGCAAAAGGAGGTACATGGGGAAATAGCCATCTCAAAAAAAAAATTTAAAAAAAAATCTTATAGAAGCTACATTTCTACAAAAGCAAAGACCATGCTTCATATATTTTCTTACCAGTAAGTGACATCCAAAGGCGCGAAGTATTTCTTCGTAATCAAGTCAGCAAAGGAAGCTTCTGTTTCCCTACAAGCCGTTCCATTGCCAATCACAACGGTGCCGCAGCTTTCAGAGGGAGGGAAAAAGAGAATATTAAGGTTGAGAAAGTATGAAGTCGTCATGGCACCATCTGTCCCAGTAGGGGGCGCTGTTGCTTCCTCCACCAACAGATCAGAGAGAAGGAGATGCACCTGGCTCAACAATATGGAATGGGAAAAAGAAGGTCAACTTACCTGAGTTAACATGAAAAGGCCACCTAACATAGTACACTGTTTCAGATAGTGGAGATGCAAAGACTTGGTACAGTGGTACCTCGGGTTAAGTACTTAATTCGTTCTGGAGGTCCGTACATAACCTGAAACTGTTCTTAACCTGAAGCACCACTTTAGCTAATGGGGCCTCCTGTTGCCGCCACGCCGCCGGAGCACGATTTCTGTTCTCATCCTGAAGCAAAGTTCTTAACCTGAAGCACTATTTCTGGGTTAGTGGAGTCTGTAACCTGAAGCGTATGTAACCTGAGGTACCACTGTATTTCTAGGTTAGAAGAGTGTGTAACCTGAAGCGCATGTAACCTGATGCGTATGTAACCCGAGGTACCACTGTATTTGTTTGTTTGTTTATAAGCTCATATACAGTACCACCCTTAAGCAAACTGTCCGGGAAAACTAACCCCAATTTTTACAAATGAAATAAAATAAAAGTATTTTTGAATGAAAAATTGTGCAGGTAATCGTAAGCTTCTCCTTCAACTCTTTATCCTGATTCCATTCATGTATATCTATTTTTATCACTTGATTGGATCAGAAAATGCAATGGGAAACTGTAAAAACACAGGCTACCATAATTATTTCATGGGCTGAGAATGTGATGCGTATCTTCTCACAAGACAATGTTGCACGATTAAAATTGATAAGGGGAAGGGCAGCCCTGTTAACCCGAAATGAATTAATGCATAATGCATCTCCCATACATTCCTGAACAAAGAGAGAACTCTGAAAACTCCTTTACTGTGAACGGAGATGGAAGTACTGCACACATCCATTAATGAAGAAAGAGGAATGATGCTCCCTGGTCCAGTTGAGGTATCTCAGCTTCACAGCATACCTGAATGCAGTATGGAAGTATCCCACTAACCATGGTTTCCCATTTCATTCAAACAGGGAAACAATGGAACAAGCCAGACCTTAAACCACAGTTTGAAGCTGGGAACCTATGGTTAAAGGAAGGTAATTTCATAATGCATTCAAGTATCCAGAGAAGGGAGCAAGGAAGGTTCATTCATATCTCAGTTTATGAAGCCAGGATATGATTGAGCAAACATGGCTCCTTTCTTGCTACATTGCATTGGTAACATCATTACCCCCCAACACAGCTCAGCAAGACAGGGAATGTTGGCCCTGTTGTCTCAGCAACAGACATGTGCTCCTCTCCCTCTTTCCAGTACCCTGATATTGGTTGAAAAAGGCTGCCAAAAAGCAGGGGAGGCAGATTTCTAGGGCTACCAAACAGGATTGCAAAAAGGCACCCCTTCCATTTCGGTTCAGCTCTAATACACAGGCAGACCAAAAGAGTGAAGGTTTGTTTAACATACTTGTAATCCAGCAGAAGTGTCCGTATCTTCTCAGCTTCACGGAATCCTTTACCAGAGTGTAAATAGACAACATCAGTATGGAGTATTTGGCCTAAGGTGACAAGAAATGAAAAACCATCTAGTTAGGAAGAATAAACTTGGTGGTCCGTTTCATATGCAACAGTAAACCATGGTTTGGTGGTACTGGAACAAATTTCAGCAAGCTTCAGGCTCATGCATGCGCCCCTCCTCTCTCTTGCTGTGCTGCAGCTGCAAACAGGAGCTTTTGCTTCTTGTTTTAAACAAGCCAGAGTTTCTCACTGTGTGCAAAATGAGGGGACACTGGTTAACTATGGATAGATACCATGGTGCCCTCTGAGTGTTAACAAATGTGGGTGGGGTCATGTAAGCTGGATTCCAACATCACCTGCCATTTCTGCTTTGAACTATGGTTTGTTGAAACAAGCCAGGATCAAGCCTTAGTTTATGAACCCGGCTTGCTTACAAACCATCGCTTAAACTAACCAGTGTTACCCAGTTCAAACATAACCAGGATCTCTAGTTACTTTAAAACAGGGAGGGGAAGCTTTCAACCTCTGCACAGCCACATCAGAGGAGAAAAGAAACACAGAAGCCCAAAGCTTATTCTTGTAGGGCTGAGCCATGATTCAGTGTTGCATCCAAAACAAGCCAATCTTTTAGGAAAGGCTTGTAGCGTAGTTTTCAAGACGGCAAAGATTTGTGTTACATGTCTCAACAAAATGAGTTTGGAGAAGGACTGCAGCTCATTGGTAGAGCATCTGCTTTGCAAGCAGAATGTCTCAGTTTTAGGACTCGGATAAACCCCTGCTTAAAACCTGGAGAGCTGCTGCCAGTCCGTGCTGACAATATTGAGCTAAATGGACTAATGGTCTGATTCAGTATAAGGCAGCTTCCGATGTTCCTATTAATTCTTGGCATTCAACCATCTTCTTCCAAGTTTACATTCTAGCGTCTCCTTAAACACATCTGGCTTATCCAGAATCAACTTTTATTCTACTGTGTCTTCCCTTTTACTTTACATTCCCTCCCTTGTTCTCTAATGTGCCTAAAATGAACCATGACGTGTGAAGGAATAAAACAATGGAAGGAAAGTGGAGTTAGCAGTAACAAAAGACCGAGCTTCTTTCTTTTGAAATTCCCTGCCAAAGGACTAGATAAGTCCAGAATGCATTGGACTACAAACTATTAGAAATTAAACTAATTCTTCTACCCCTTTGCTTCCCCCTCCCACCCCCCATTTGCCTGGGGTTTCCCTCTTCTGCTGAGCAGCCTAAAGCATTAGCTTAGTATAGGGTAGCCCACGTAATGCCTTTCAGATGTTGCAGGATTCCTATGGTCCCCAGCAAGCATAGCTAATGGGCACAGAAGATGGAAGCTATAGTCCGACACCATCTGCAGAGCATGATGTTAGCTACACATGTCCTGATAACACAACTAGTGCTTCTCACAGCTGGAGCACCACACTTACTGGTTGGTGAAATGATGGCCAGTTTGCAACCATGTTTGTAGCCAGGATCAACTCCCATCAAGGTCCGTCCTCTTACAGGGCTCATGAGAAGCAACTGGCGGAGGTTCCTTCCGAACATCATTACAGATTCCTTCTCTGCGTCTGAAGTCAATTTAGATCTAAGAAAGGAGTGTAGCAAAAAAACAGAGTTAATTCATCACAGGTAGGCAAAATTGCATATTGGCTTCCTCACACCAACACTCCATTGCCCTTTTCCGTTGAGAGCCAGTGTGGTGTAGTATCTTAAGAGCGGTAGACTTGTAATCTGGTGAACTGGGTTCGCGTCTCCGCTCCTCCACATGCAGCTGTTGGGTGACCATGGGTTAGTCACACTTCTTTGAAGTCTCTCAGCCCCATTCACCTCACAGAGTGTTTGTTGTGGGGGAGGAAGGGAAAGGAGAATGTTAGCCGCTTTGAGACTCCTTCGGGTAGTGACTAATCGGTAAGCAGGATATCAAATCCAAACTCTTCTTTTCCATGACTTTTCCGTCTCTCCTACTCTTACTTTTTAAGGAGCAAACACTCCCCGCCCCCAAGTCTGTTTTGATGCAGCATGGATGACTGCATACAAATGCAGAACATGCATTTTTTCTGAAAGACAACAATTCATGCTTGTATTTTTTATTATTTATTTTTTTTAAAATAAAGTTAGTTTAAAAGGAATGCATAGGAGAAACTGTTCAGGCACTTAAAATTTGACAGTACACTTACTGTGGACTGTGACTCAGCTTTTTCATTGCCTGAGTGAATTACATTCTCAAGGAAACTCTGCTCTTGCTTCAAAAGAAACTTTTGCCTCCTTCCTTACTTGCATCTATGGCAAAGGTGAGGAGCCTCTGGCCCAGGGGCCAAATGAAGCCGTTTTTGCCTGGCCTTTGTGACTTGTCGCAGGCCATCAGCCGTAGCCAACATAGTGCCCTCCAGATGTTGTTTGACTCCAGCTCCCCAGGCAGCTTGTCCAATGGGTCGAGGTGAAGGGAGTTGGAGTCCAGCAATATATGGAGGGCATCGCATAAGTACTTTATTACCCAGAAAGGAATCAGTACAGGCAACTCCCCATTTATGTGGAAGTTGCATTCCAGGTCATTGTGCATGTCCGTGGACAGCGCATAAGTCCTTTCCATCCCCTTTTCCAGCCACTTCCAGGTAGCTGTGATGCGTGAATGCACATGTGCGTCAACCAGGCGTATGTACCGTATTTTTCGCTCTATAGGACGCACCCGACCATAAGATACACCTTGTTTTAGAGGGGGAGAACAAGGGAAAAAAATTCTCCCCCTCTCTGCTTAGCGCCCCTTCAGCAAAGTGACAGGAGAAACAGAGCCCCTTCCATTTTTCCTCCCGCTTGGCTGAAGGGGCGCTGCGCAGCTCTCCCTCTCTGCTGAAGCCAGGAGAGTCTTGCTCTCCCGGCTTCAGCAAAAGGAACCTGAAGCCTCTGGAGCGCAACGGGAACTCGCGCTGCGCTCCGAAGGCTTCAGGTGGCTATCCCTGATAGTGCTCCCTCTGCGCTTCGGAGGCTTCGCGTTGCTATCACTGAAGCCAAGGAGCCTGCATTCATTTCATAGGACGCACACATATTTCCCCTTAATTTTTGGAGGGGAAAAAGTGCGTCTTATAGAGCAAAAAATACGGTAAATTGGTCATTGCCTGTACAGATTTCTCCCGGCTCCTAAACAGTGTTTTGCTTCTACAACTTATTCCTTCCTCTCCTCTCCCCACATGCCCCTCTGGGAGGTCCTCTGGAGCCAACTTGATGGCATGTGGAGGACTGTAGGGGAAAGAAGAGAAGGGGAACATTTCATTGTGCAACTGGAAGTTTCCTGCGCTAGCTGGACAAAGGCACTGGATATCCGTGCGGTTGAACTATTCGTCGTAGATGTTGAGTGCTAACTAACAGGGCTACTGTTGAGAACGTAGAAGGTGTTGTTTTTAGAGAGGATGTGGCTGGGATGGAGATCCTGAATGGTGATATTTCAAATAAACAAGAACTCTACATTTTTTTTAAAAAGCCTAAAAAGCTTTTAATTCCCATTTCATTTCTGCAGCGCCAAAACGCCACTTCAGCTGGTTACAAAAGCCATTATATTGTCATTGGTGAAACAGATTGCTTCATAGTCTAGTCAGTACAGCAACCGTGGCAGAGTTGAGCCCAATATTATGACTATGAGGTCGTTAATTTAGGAAGGGGTGGGTGAATGACAGCTAAAAAGATACTTATAGCTAGAGCAATTAGCCTCCACGAATCCCTCCAGAGAAGTATGAGAAATGGGATTAGAGCGACATGATGGAGCACATTACCGAAACAGTGATTGTGAAATGGATACAATAAAACAATTTTAGCAGCATAGCAGTTTGCATCAAGACCATTATAACCATCTGATGTATTACTCAATATGGGGGGCTCACAATATGGTGCTGTCATTAAAAATGTTAAGGAAATTGCCGTTTGCATACACAAACTGTCAAAATTTTCCCCCATTTACAATGCATTTTTTGATCATTAAGTTATTTCCCACTATACTAGCTGCCAGGGGAAATGTGTCTTTCAACTTGCCAATTTTTTTTTTTTTTTTTTTTGCATATTCTTGTGATCTAAAGAACAAATCAGGAAACCATCGCTACTAAAAGAGCATGAGTTAAAAACTCTTCAATTAGACCGATCCTACACAGGTCTACTTGGAAGTACAGCTTATTGCTAGATTACTGCAAAGTGCTATACATGGGGCTGCCTCTGAAGACGGTTTGGAAACTTCAGATGGTGCAATTCAGAGGCCAGGTTGCTCACTGGGACAAGACAGTTTGAGCATATGTTGCCAACCCTGGCCCAACTGCACTGGCTGCCAATGAGGTTTTACCTACAAAGCCTTAAACAGCTCAGAACCGCAATGCCTCAGAAACCCCAATGACCTATTAATTTCTAAATTTTTTTTGGGGGGGGACTTTTTGTCACTATGGTATGTATTTATATATTGTAAACCACCCTGTGATCCTCGGATGAAGGACAGTATAGAAATCAATCAATCAATCAATCAATCAATATTGATCGCAGTGGGGCTTACTTCTGAGTGAGGACCAAGGCATCAAGCAAACTCCTTCACGCAAGATACAAAATATCACAATGTCTGAAATAAGGATGGAACTATGCGGAGGCATTAGCTGGATTCACAGATTTTCCTGCATCATGATTCCTGCATAGCACATGTGTGCGCACAAACACACACACATCACGATGCACGATATATTGCCAGGTAAAAAATTATGAGGGATGCGGGTGGCGCTGTGGTCTAAACCACAGAGCCTAGGGCTTGCGATCAGAAGGTAGACAGTTCGAAACCCCGTGACGGGGTGAGCTCACGTTGTTCAGTCCCAGCTCCTGACCACCTAGCAGTTTGAAAGCACGTCAAGTGCAAGTAGATAAATAGATACCGCTCCGGCGGGAAGGTAAACGGCGTTTCCGTGCTCTGCTCTGGTTCACCAGAAGCGGCTTAGCCATGCTGGCCACATGACCTGGAAGCTGTCTGCGGACAAACGCCGGCTCCCTTGGCCTATAGAGCGAGATGAGCGTGCAACCCCAGAGTCGTCTGCAACTGGACCTAATAGTCAGGGGTACCTTTACCTTTATCTTTAAAAAATTATGAAATAAAAATATCATAATATGGACTTCAAACCGGTTTTGGACTATACAGTGGTACCTCGGTTTACGAACTTAATCCATTCCGGAAGTCCATTCTTAAACCGAGGCATGCTTTCCCTAATGAGGCCTCTCACCGCCAGTGCCCTTCCACCAATCAGCTTCCATTCTTAGACCGAGGTAAAGTTCTCAAACCAAAACACTATTTCCGGTTTTGCGGAGTTTATAAATCAAAAATTGTTCTTAAACCGGACTGTTCTTGAACAGCGGTACCACTGTATATCGCTATATCACCCAGCCCCAGTGAGCATTGCCTTGCTGTATTTTTTATGAAAGTGCTGCTTCTAAATTTTAAGCAAATACTTTTTATTTGATATTCCTACATCACGGTACACAAGGCAGTTTACAATGCATAAGGGTGTTGCTTTACCTGAATTCTCTGCAGAGAAGCGGATAAATAAGGCGCTTGTAGGAGTCTTCTGTTGAATAACGTAGAAGCTCCATTAATTCAGGCTGCGCATAGGCCTTTGGTCTCCATCTGTGCAGCAAAATGTTTAAAACTAAGATTATTTGGTAACATGTTGCAAGTGTAACCTGCCGAAAGCCATACTATAGCTTCAGCAGAATGGAGTTTTAGCACAGGGTTTACAAAGTCCATTACAAATACCCTCTTTATGGGACTTGGAAGTCCCTGAAACCTGCAGACTAACTTCTTCTAAGAATATGCATACATACAAGGTGGTTAACAAAATCTGTCAGAAGCCAAACAGATGACAAAGTTCCTACCATCCTACTACTATGGGTTCCTACTATCTACCAAATTTGTAGGAAATTAACTCAAGTGTAACAGCTTGAAACAGCCTGGCCAAGTCCAGAAGTAGCACAAGAGAATATGGGGCACTTGTCACAATTTAGAAGCATGGTCAAATCTTCACGGTCACAGCCAGCACCTATTGGTCACCCAACATGTATTTTATGAGCTAACTGCCAAGACTACCAAAGAGATAAATGGAAAACTGGCTACTACGGGCATGCATGCATCAATTCATTTCATGTACATCTGTTTAAGATCTTCTGTTGCTTTGGATTTCCCAGATAGAACTTTGACTGACTGCTGCTTTGGGTTTTCTCGGAGAAACCTTAGATCTTCTACTACATTACATTTCCCCAGCACATAAGAGTTCAAATAAAAACAGTCAACAACAGCTGCTAACCCAGCAAGCATACAAAACAACAACAACCCCAAGCAAATCCAGGCAACTATTGCTGTTATAGCCAAAGGTCAATGGATGAAAACTGTGATCCATAGAGTCACTAGATCAAGTCTCATCTAGCCACAAGGGGGCCTTAAGAGTTCTACCAGCTTCAGCCTCAACCTTCTCCGTGCAAAACATTATTGCATTATACAGATGATGTTATTATCTTGGATCTGATCCAGGTTTCCCCCATCTCCATGCCCAGTGCTCTATTTGCTGGCCAAGCCAGCAATTACTGTTCCAGTTTACTTTGTACGGCACATTCCCATCGCAGGGTTGCCATGTGTCCTCTTTTTCTAGGATACATCCTCTTTTCCAGGTCTGGTTGCCACATGTCTTCTTTTCCCCAGACACGACCTTTTTTCAGGATTAAAATTTCTGTCTGGGTGGATTTTTGAAATTTGGCACAATACAGTAACCCAGAAAAGAATCACAACACAGCAGCATCTTGAACTAGCTACATACTGTATGAATCCCTTCTCTTGTGGCTGAACTAAAAGGACGCTGGTTGCAAGATCTTGGAGAAGGAATCTGGGAGTGCAAGAGTTAACATCCCCGTCTCCTTCAGGAGAGCCCATATGCACATGTACAGTTTAATAAATTGTTCTGTGCCCAAATACTTTCATGTGGCAAGTGAGGGGGCAATATGTATTATTATTATTTTGTTGCTGAAAACTAAGAACATTGCTACTAGCAATATATCACAGCTTCTATAGCCAACATATAGTAGGAGGTTGGGACACAGGTGGCGCTGTGGGTTAAACCCCAGAGTCGGTCACGACTGGACCTAATGATCAGGGGTCCATTTACCTTTAACTTTACTAGATCTAAAGCAGCAATAGCCAATGCTACACCCTCAAGGTATTGCTGGGTTGCATACAACTCCTGTCAACCCTGATCATTGGCCATGTTGGCTGAATCTAATGAGAGAGACTCCAACATCTGGAGAGAACCACATTGGCTACTCACTCCCAGCTTAAGGGATCAGAAAAGCGAACAAAGCATTGGTATGCCCTCATACAGACCTTGCATTTACACACCACCTACAGAATTCAAACTTCACGCCGTCAGGAATGTTGACCTTCACTGTCAGGACTTTGAGATTCTCCCCTCGGTTAATGGCTAGAATCTAAACGGCAAATAGAAATGGAGAACACATATGACACACATAACAGGCAGGGAACACCTTCAAAACCACAGTGAATCTATTGATCTAGTGACTGTGCTGACTGCAGGGGGACCCATAGTTTGACTGCTTATAAGGCAGCTTCGTATGTTCACATGTGGAAGTGCTATTACAGCTGTATTATTGTTAGTTGCTCAATGTGCCAAAATGGCTTCCATAGAACCAAAACCTAGAGATGAATGAACTATGTTTTCAGTGGGTTGTGGGGGGGGAGGGGGGTCCTCAGTTTTGCCCCTCCCCTAATTTAGTAAAAGCAGAGTTATGCAAAACTAAGTATGCAAATCAAGAGAAATAATGTATATTATTATGCATAATGTATACAGGATGTAGAATCCCATTTTTGCTAGACCAAGACTTGGGTTACCTAGGTGTAGAATTTTAATTTTGTTTTTGAACCACAGGGTACACACAGGCTTGAGTACTGGTTTGTTTTCATACAGATCAATCAGCTAACTCTGCAATCTTACTTTGCACGTCAGATGTAGGGGCAGGTGTGCACAGCTTAGCCAAAAGGGGAGACCCAACAGGCCTCATTTTTATTTATTTTACTTAGGAAAATATTTATATACCACTAAATCATAGAAAAACATTGAAGTGGTTTACAATTATACCTACATCTATATCTACAGAATAAAAACACATACGGGTTTAAAATCAGAAACCATCAACTAACTATTATGGAAAGATGTTATCTTAATTGCCTGCAAAGAAAAGTTTTCAACAGGCATCTGAAGGTTGAAACTGAAGCCACCTGTTGAATCCTTACTGCCAGGACTGGGCCAATGATATTAAAGGCCCTACTTCATATTGGTGTCAGATGGGCCTCTCTGACTCAAGGGACAAGCAACGACACTCCTGCACTTGACCTCAATGGCTGAGAAGGCATATAAGGGTTCAGGGAATCCCTAAGGTACCCTGGAGCTAAGTCGTTCAGGGCTATGTAAATGAATACAGGGATCTTGAACGTGGCTCGATAGCAGATGGGCATTTACTAGGCCTGTGGGACAGAGGTTCCCCACCCCTAGGCTAAATTAAAAAGTGTATTCAGAGTACATAAGCTTCACAGGATGCTCCAAGTCACATAAACTCAACTAAGCAACTGGGTTGCATGACATCTGGATGATTGCTAAAATGTATTTAAGTACTTTTCATGTATTTAAGTACTTCCCCACCTTTCAGTGTGAGCTGCTCTCAGAGTAACAAAAATTCTCCCATGCCCTGTTTATACAGGGACAGAAAGAGAGAGAGTGTGTGTGCTTCAAGGCTGTGCGGAGATTTACCGGTAACCAAACTGTTGTCACAATCCCACTTGACCCAGACAAAATGGTTTGGATACCCAAAGATCATCTGAGTACAACCTAAAGGGTCAAAGGAACCAGAAATGATCCCAAACAAGGGACCCATCTCATGGATGTCTCACTTGATAACTACCACCCATCTCTCTGACCACAACCCAAGCTCTGCCTTGATCCTGGATTCTCCCACTTCATCCCTTGGGCCTCCAAAGCAAAGGCAACAGCAGACCCAGTAGGAAGGCCTAAGTCAGCATAATAATGCCTGTTTGACTGCAAGAACAGGGTGCCTGGACTAGATAGGCTAATAGCCTGATCCAGAAAGGCTCTTCTTATGTTCTTATGGAATAATAACATTTCCATGAGATGATAAGTATTCATTTTAACTGTCAGCAAAGAGGGGGAAAACAATGATTGCTATGTACGCGGAAATCCACATGCTCCCGAAAGTTAAGAAAACCATACATTTCCGATACATTAGACGTGCAGAGAAACCATTAAAAAGCTGTTAAAAGTTGACATTCCTGTGTTGCCGTGCATGTTGATGTATGCTACGGGCCCTCAGCCCTGTCACAAGCAAGCTTGCTGTGTCAATCACGAACTTTAATTCAATCACTAGCTAACTCAGACATGTCACATATGTTAAACACAATGGTCTAAAAATGACCCGGGGGCATCGCACCAATTTATATTCCTCAGCTTTCCCTGTGCATGTTGACATACCAGGCCTGACATATCATTGAACAACACAGCAAATAATAAAAATTACATGTGAAATGTTATAGCATCAGGTACCTTGACTGCCAAAGCAAATGCTCTCACGCAGGAATTAGGAGGGCACACATTTCCCGAACGAAAACAAAACACTTTCATGGTTATTCCACACTGGCAAGAGAGTGTGTGCGTGTATGTGTGTGTGTGTCTGTGTGTCTGTGTCTGGGTGAAAGCTAAAACAGCTATCTGGAGTGAAATCAAAATTATGTTTTTCGGCAAACAACTTCGTCAGATACAGATATCATTGCTCCTGACTCACAGGGGTTTTTCCGGACCAAGTGCCCTATTTCCAAGCCCCTCCAAACAAACTAGCTTGACAAACAATGGCTTGAAGAAGAGCATCTTCTCATTAATAGCCAACCCCGATAAGCCAAATTTAGCTTGGAAACTAAGTATCTGTAGAAAAGTAAGCAAGTTGCCATCCCCTTAGGCCAATGTTAGAAATTAGCCAGGCGCCAGGTGCGTTTTCTACTGGTGTAGATCCAATTGTGACTATGTGGAGATTTCTGGGAGCCAGGTTGGCAACCACAGCTTAAACACCTCTGCCTTAGTCCATAGATAATGTCATTTCCATCTCAACTGGGTGTGTTTCTCCTCCTTCCGTACTGGGACAAGTGAATTGTTAAGAGGAAGCTACAGTCAAGTAATGTTGAGATCATAGAATCGTCAAACCATAGCATTGTATGCGACCCCCAGTCCAACACCCTGGCGAACAGACATTCCACTGTGGCGATTTTAACTGATTTTAACTAGGTGGCACTTGGCCCCTAGCTTGTATATCTGAGCTTTCAACATTGCCTTAGGCCTCAGTAAAAAGGGGTTGGTTTCTTCTTTGGTGATCACTCATAGTCAAGTAAGTTTGTCTTCCATAAACACGGTTTTAGCAATGAGTCCGTAAGTGACTGTGGAGGCCAATTCTTGATCCACACGTCCTTCCACAGTGGGGACATTGGTTCCCAGGCGGGAGTTGATCATGGTGTGGATTTGCAGAGCGTGCCTTCCTCCTAGCACATTTCTCTCTTGCATCCTGAGTTTGAGTGTCTTCAAAGCCCATGACACCTTTGGTAAAGGCTGTTTTCCAACTGGAGAGCTCGCAGGCCAGCATTTCCCAGTTGTCAGTGTTTACACTACTTTTTTTTTTTAGATTTGCCTTGAGACAGTATTTAAACCTCTTTTGTTGACCACCAGCATTACACTTTCCATTTTTAAGTTCGGAATAGAGTAGTTGCTTTGGAAGGCGATCATCAGGCATTCGCACAACATGACCAGCCCAACGAAGTTGATGTTGAAGAATCATTGCTTCAACACTGGTGATCTTTGCTTCTTCCAGTACACTGATATTAGTTCGCCTGTCTTCCTAAGTGATGTGTAAGATTTTTCGGAGGCACTGTTGATGGAATCTTTCGAGAAGTTGGAGATGGCATTTATAAGTGGTCCATGTTTCGCATGCATACAGTTAGTAATAAAATAATAATAATAATAATAATAATAATAATAATAATAATAATATATTATTTATACCCCGCCCATCTGGCTGAGTTTCCCCAGCCACTCTGGGCGGCTCCCAATCAGTGTTAAAAACAGTACAACGTTACATATTAAAAACTTCCCTGAACAGGGCTGCCTTAAGATGTCTTCTGAATGTCAGGTAATTATTTATCTCTTTGACATCTGATGGGAGGGTGTTCCACAGGGCGGGCGCGACTACCGAGAAGGCCCTCTGCCTGGTTCCCTGTAACTTGGCCTCTCGCAGTGAGGGAACTGCCAGAAGGCCCTCGGCGCTGGATCTCAGTGTCCGGGCTGAACGATGGGGGTGGAGACACTCCTTCAGGTATACAGGACCGAGGCCGTTTAGGGCTTTAAAGGTCAGCACCAACACTTTGAATCGTCCTCGGAAACATACTGGGAGCCAATGCAGATCTCTCAGAACCGGTTAGGTTGGTAGTACAATAGCTTGGTACACAAGCATTTTGGTTTCCCTGCGAATGTCCTATTGCCACAGGCCTCAGTGAAAAGGGGTTGGTTTACCCATATAGAAAGCTCTACTTGATCAGGCCAATGGCCCATCGAGTTTACTATCCTGTTCTCACAGTGGTCAAGTGGATGCTTATGGAAAGCCTGCTTATGGGAAGTGGATGTTTATGGGAAGCAGGACTTGAGCACAGCAACATTCTCCCCACCTGTGACTCCAAGCAACTGGTTTTCAAAGGCAAACGACCTCCAATACTAGATTGGGTGGCCCATCTTTCAGGGGGTTTTTAAGCTGTGATTCTTGCATTGCAGAGTTGGGTCCCTTCTATAGTGGAAAACGGGCAAGAAAAATCGAGGTGCTGCAGATTTGGCTATGTGCAGGCAACCCTTCCTGCGAGTCCTCGCAGGAGCACTCCTGCCCTTGAGAGTGGCCTAGCTGGGGCCTGACTGCCCAGATTAGGAGCCCTAATCGACACAGGTAGTGACTGTGGAGACATCCAGCCCAGCCTGGTTGAGGCAGGTACGAATGGTGCAAAGCAACGTGGTCAAGCAGGGAGAGAATGATAGACCAAATGGTGCGGTTTCCTAAGGCTAGATCTGGTGTATGTGGGTCAAGGTCTGGTGGAGGAATTGTTCCTTTGGGGTTATTGGCCTGATCAAGTAAAGCTTTCTATGTGGGTAAACCAACCCCTTTTCACTGAGGCCTAAGGCAATGGGACATACGCTGGGAAACCAAAATGCTTGTTTACCAAGCTATTGCACTACCAACCTCACTGTATGCTTGCGAAACATGGACCACTTACAAACGCCATCTCCAACTTCTCAAAAGATTCCATCAATGGTGCCTCCAAAAAATCTTACACCTTTATATATTCTATATAAAATATATTTTCCCTCATCTACTGACTACCAAGGACCCTTTAAAGAACCTGCAGTGTTGATTGGCAAAACACCTTCAAACTCTACAATTCTACGTATAATCGCTACAATAATTTGTTTAAATTTTATACTGTGAGTGGCCGTACATACGTGGAAAAGTAGGATAAAAGTCATCATTAGCAACAACTGGATAACACTGAGAGGAAGCACACCAAGAAAACACAAGGCAAGAGGAGCTTGGAAGGGGATGAATAACAGAGAAGATATGGGCAAAGTGAAGCAAACAACCAGGAGCTGCAGGAGAGAGGAGAGCTGGAGTTCACATATTGATTGGAAGGAACCAGCAAATGTCTGGCTGCCGGCCAGTAGTCCTTGCTTTTTCATGTACAGGCTAGTTTCGAATCACAGCCCTTGTTCAAATAAGCATGCAGCACAGGAAATCCATTTGAAAAGACTCAGGAGAATTCAGGAGGAAGGTGAAACTCAAGGTTAGCAACAAAATCCTCAAATGGCTTTTTCATTTCTTAGCTAACTGAAGGGCGAATAAAAGCACAGCATGGAATCCACACACCACTTCCTCTGAACCACTGCAGATATAACGTTTCCCAGTCTCCTACCTGTGCTTAAAAAGGTTGGGAGAAACCCACTGGCTCATTCACAACCTCTTTCTGTGCAAATTTCCCCACTCTTTCCTTTTCAGCATTAACCGTGGTGCGGCTAATCTTTGCGCTAATGTGATGAGCTTCAAACCAGAGTCCAAAGCAAGGATTTGAAGTTTGTTTCCAAAACCCTGGTTCAAGGCTAACCCTGGTGAACATTAACTTTGGTGCAGAGGTGACACTGCACTGCGGTTAACACGGCCAAAGGAAGGCAGGAGCTCATGTGGGGGAAAAGAGGAAGAAGAAACTCGATTTGTTTTGTTTATATATTGCAAGTTGCTTTGAGTTACACCTTGGTGAAAAATCAACTGGTAAATTTAATAAATGAAATAAATTAAAAACCAGTTAAACCAAGCTGGTTCCAGGCTCCAGCGGACTGTCACTTACCCTGTAGTGGAACCTCTCTAACTGGCACCAGGCAGCTGCCAAGTTAATTTCCCACCTTGCCCCAAAGCCACACTACCTCAGGGCACTGTGGGAAATGGACTATGCCCAATTAGCAATGGTGAGCCCTGCTGGGACTCAAGAACCCCATCAGTTGCCTATGGGAGTGCTCTGTTAACCTTGCCTATGAGACCGGGAAATATTAGATAAGCATTGGGACCCTGTGGTGGTTTAGTCGCAATGTAGGCTTTGAAAATCAGTAGGACTAATTTGGAATTTCTGCAAAACAATAACAAACAACACTTAAAAAAATAAATAAATCCCAAAATGCTGATGTTCTTTCTCTTTTTTTTACTTTGACATTGTGAACATTTGGCACACACACATATATATATACACGTATTTTAAAAACCTTTTAAAAACCTTCCCTTCTTTCAGGTCACCTTTAACTACAATTATTTAACCTTTTCTCGCCACTCGGGACCAATTTCAGCTGACAGGTTTAACGCCGCGTGGCTCAGAGCACTCGTCAATCACAGGGATGTTCTCCAAGCCATTCAGCAGTGCCGCAGTGGCTGACACAGGAGACATGACATCAGACAAGACGTCTGAGGTTAGATTTAGAAGATGGTGGAGCAAAGACTGAACGAACTGGGGCTGAGGGCACAACTCGGAGGAAGGGGGGGTTGGGGGTCAAAGCGACGGAGAGCAAAGTAAGCCTTCCAAACTCCTGCCGGTCCCAGGAGGAAATGATTAAATGCTTCATTCTTCCTCAGCCACTGTCCTGGAATAACAAGGCATGTTCCCTTGTATCTCTGGAGAAACAGTTTGTTTGTACTAAAAGGTCTGCTGCAAATCTTTCCATTGGGCTAATCCGTAATGACCTTGACTCGGTCCAGCTGCCCTCCGCCATCTGTTCAAGGGCAGCAAAGTGCAGGTGGGAAGGAGGGGGGAGGCACAAAAAGAGGCTTGCAAGGATCAGACCAAATGCCAGTGTAGTCCGGTACCCTGTTCTCATGGTAGCCAGTCAGATGTCTGTGGGAAGTCTGCAAGCGGGAGCCAGTGTGGTGTAGTGGTTAAGAGCGGTAGACTCGTAATCTGGTGAACCGGGTTCGCGTCTCCGCTCCTCCACATGCAGCTGCTGGGTGACCTTGGGCCAGTCACGCTTCTCTGAAGTCTCTCAGCCCCACTCAGCTCACAGAGTGTTTGTTGTGGGGGAGGAAGGGAAAGGAGAATGTTAGCCACTTTGAGACTCCTTCGGGTAGTGATAAAGCAGGATATCAAATCCAAACTCTTCTTCTACTTCTTCTTCTTCTTCAACGCCTCTCCTCGCTCATGATTCGCAGCAGCCAGTATTCAGAAACATACGGTTTCCAACAGCAAAAGTGTGACCACATAGCCACTGAGAGACACATTCACAGAGGCTAAGGCAGCGGAGATAGCTCAGTTGGGGAAGCATGAGACTCTTAATCAGGGACATGGATTCGAGCCCCACGTAGCACACAAGATTCCTGCATTATAGAGGTTAGATTAGATTGGCCCATCAGGCTCCCTTCCAACAATTCTACGATTCACTAAAATCATCCAAGATGGTGATGGTCACTTACAGGAGTGAATTTGACATTTTAAGGCCTGTGTGCAGAAGAACTTCAAAATCTTCCTCTCACACTGGGAGCCAGTGTGGTGTAGTGGTTAAGAGTGGTAGATTTGCAACCTGGGGAACCGGGTTCGCGTCTCCGCTCCTCCACATGCAGCTGCTGGGTGACCTTGGGCTAGTCGCACTTCTTTGAAGTCTCTCAGCCTCACTCACCTCACAGAGTGTTTCTTGTGGGGGAGGAAGGCAAAGGAGAATGTTAGCCGCTTTGAGACTCCTTTGGGTAGTGATAAAGTGGGATATCAAATCCAAACTCTTCTTCTTCTTCCCTTGTTCGTTTGTTTCAACAATTTGCATGCTACTTAATCACAGTTGTCTCTAAGTAGTGTAGCCTTCAGATTTATTTTTTTTAAAGCCCTCAGTAAGAACTGGAAGTTCAACGGTGGGGAGAGGGGAGCTGTCTGCCCTCAACTTGGAGGGGAGTTTCACGAAATTGGGCCCACCATTTTGAATGCATGGCTCCTTGTAGATAGGAATCGTGTGTACAGGCCAATAGGGGATCACCAAGAACAGCTCCCCCGAAGACCTCTGTGATTGGACAGGGATCTAGGAGATAAGGCTGCCCCCCTGAGGTATCCTGGGCCCAAGTTTACAGGGCCTCGTAAATTAATAAATGAACCTTGAACCCAGTCCAGTAGCTTCTGATCACTGGAGTTATGTGCTGGCAACCATCTGCCCCCATCAACAGTCTAGCCACGGTGCTTTGCACCAGATGGAGCCTCTGTGTCAGGCACAAAGACAGCCACCGCACAGATCACCTGCAAAAAACCAAGCTTTGAGTTTACCTCTGCATGGTTCACCATAGCCAGATTATCCCTGTCCAAGAACAGCCATAGTTAGCGTACCAGCAAGGGCTGATAAAAGGCACTAAGGCTATCTGAGCTTCCAGTCATGAGGAGCACCCCCAAAGTCCGAACCTCTTCTTCCCAAGAGGGTGCACCCCCTTTGTTGCACTGCTTTCAAGGTTTTGTGCTGCTAAATGGTCTACAAATTTGTTTAGCAGATAAATAATATTCTATGCAGCGGAGGGGCGATCATTAAGCACCTACCTGGTGATGCTGAATATTCTTTATATTGCAAGAAAAATTCTGGTACAGGTGAAACTTGTTGACATCTTTTTCATTGGCCTTTTTCGAGGTCACTTTTGCCAAGGATGACTGAATACAAATGTACTTTCTTTGGCATCTATATTTTAAAAAAAAAAAATTGAACAGAATTCAAATAGAAGTCATGCTAATGTCATTACAAGGACTGATAGTGACTTGCCCGTTATTATCATACTACGTTTTAACAAAACAAACGATTTTCAGAATTAAGGAAGTATCCCAATAGCAAAGCAAGACGGAGCAGAAAATGACAGAGGCTCTTGGGCTTGGGTCTTCCAAAAGAACAGAATGTTGCACTAGATGGGCCTTTGGCCTCATCCAGCAGGGCTCTTTGCATGCTCATATGCCAAGCGGCCAAAGATGGAATCTGCTACTTTGGCTGCAAGCAACCCCAGCGTCCATGCCCTGATTCAGGATTCTGCTTTGATCCTTCCTGTTCACTGTTGCGCCACAATGGATTCCAGTTCCAGGGGTCCCCCCCCCAATGGATGACCAAGGTCTGATTCATATGGAGTAGCATTCGCTTCATGCAACATGCAAATCTGGAGCACTGGTGCTGGGCTTCCCTATATTCTTCTAAGCACACAAATGCCTGGATAGCTCTGTACATGAAATCCCTGGTTTATGCAGAAGATGAAAACCAGCTGGATCACATCAGAGGTCCACGGGGGCCTCCCTTTCGCCTGCCCTGAACCACACTCCACTGCCACCCTCCTTGTAAAGGACAGGACTTGGGAGCTCACTCAGTGCTGCTACACAACTGTCTGCAGGTGGTATGCTGGGATAATAATAATAATAATAATAATAATAATAATAATAATAATAAATTTTATTTATACCCCGCCCTCCCCAGCCAAGACCAGTCTCAGGGCGGCTGACACCAGGTATAAAAACAATTGATTGAAACACAACTTAAAAACAAGATTAAAATACAACATTAAAACATTAAAATGCAGCCTCATTTCAGTAGGAACTCAAATCAAAAACTTTTTTTGGGATGTAAACGTCAAATCTTCACCAAGGCCAACTATCCAGACTGGTCCTACGTGGGCCAGAAAAAAGCTAGGGAAGTCCCCAAATAGGAGTTCCATCACAGAAGGAAAAAGGAAAAAGGAAAGAGGGGGAGGGGATCAAGTTGATTCCAAGCCAAAGGCCAGGCAGAACAACTCTGTCTTACAGGCCCTGCGGAAAGAAATCAGATCCTGCAGGGCCCTGGTCTCATGAGACAGAGCGTTCCACCAGGCCGGAGCCAGTGTTGAAAAGGCCCTGGCTCTAGTTGAGGCTAATCTAATTTCCTTAGGGCCCAGGACCTCTAAGCTGTTACTATTTATGGACCTTCAGGTCCTCCATGGGGCATACCAGGAGAGGTGGTTCCATAGAAACGAAGGTCCTAGGCCGTGAAGGGCTTTACAGGGCTTTAATGTGGCCAAACAGGGAGGGCCTTAGCTGTGCAGTAGAGCACCTGCTTTCTTTGCAGAGCTTCAAACTCTGGCTTCTCCAGGTAGGGCTGGGAGAAGCCCCTGTCTGAAACCCTGAAGAACTGCTGCCAGATGGTCTACAAGACAGCTTCCTATGTACCTAAGGAGTGTTGTTTTCCACCTGAATCCATACCTGACGAACCCCTTCCACTGTGCCTATGAAGACAAGACAGAAATGAATGCATAAAAGCTGCAAAATAAGAATTTAAGTGGCCTATGATAAAAGCAAACTGCCTGTAACAACGGCACTTACAAATCTCTGATGAAATCCAGCGTCTCTTTATCTTTAGCAATCATGTCAGCCAAGATGTGCTGCACTCCAGATTTTACTTCCTCAACCGTGGAAAGACCTGGAAGAAAATACATTTGAGCCTTGTGTTATTCATTTCGTTCCTATGTTTTATGCCCTGATAACGTCCACAACACTGTGGATGTGCTCCAACATTTAGGAACTATATTTAACTATCAGTCCTGAGTAGGGATAATTTGAGAAGCCTTACTTTGCTGGACACTGTCTAACAGATTCAAATTTAGAACCTGTGCTTTAAAAAATGCTCAATTAATCTTTTTTTAAAAAAAAAAAACCAAGAAGAAAAACTTCTCCACAGATGAACTAGAAAAAAGTATTTACTAGCTTCTCTATAAGAATAATATAAAAACCAGCCCGTTTTATTGTCTAATATTGCCCCCTACAGATTTATCTATAATTACACTAGGAGACACATTGCTAGATAGTTGCAAGCTTTCGGTTTTAAAATTGATGTGATTTTCAGCATGTCTTGGTATTAATTTTTTAGAAGGGTAAGAAAGGATATTTTCTTCCTTCTTGTATTGTGATTGGATGAAAAGTCTTCATATTATGTGAGTTTTTACTGGTATGGGTGGGTGTTTATTTTATGGCGTATCTGCATTTTAAATCTTTGCAAGTCACTTTGAAAGACAGATACATTCAATCAATAATAAAATATACAGAATTTGTGATTTAACAGGAGACTTTAAAAAAAACCACATTTCAATAGCAATTTTCTCCTCTTCAAAAGCAGAATATTATTCCCATCCAATACTGCAATACTTCCCATTCATTTCTTTATATCTGCCTCTGAAATTAATAGGGGCCTTATTCTTTGTATGTTCTGTTTTAGCAGGTCTGTGAGAATACAATAGATGGTTGACTGGTGTTTTATTTATTCTTACTGTATTATTATTGCAGTTATACCCACTGCCTAGTGGGACATCTTCGGGAGAAGAAAAGGAGGAAACCCTACACAAATCCACAGTAGAGTCCCTAAGATGGTTGGATGGTGTCTTGTATGCCTCCTTCTGGCAACTCCTGCAGCCAAGCTGGTGCCAAATGTATTACTCTGCTTTCCTTTGGACCATGTCAGTAAGGATCTTGACGCCTGGGCAGCCCAGTCCTGTTTTTGCTAACGCAGCAAAAACAATGCGGGAGGCAGCAGTTGCAAGTTAACGGTCTCTGCAGCCACAGCAGGCGCTGTGATTCTTCAGCAGTTTGATTTTTTAATTTTTAGTTTATTTAACATAATTGTTACAAAATATAAGCAAAATATTGCAAATACATGCATACATATATATTTCAAATAAGCACATATATATGAAAAAAGGAACAAAAGAGAAAAGAAGAAAAGAAAAAATAAAGAGAAAATAAGAAGAAAAGTTGGAAGAATTTCTTCTAAATTTCTTCTACAAATATCTACAAATATTGAGATATTGAGATTATTCAGCAGTTTGATTTCACCCCTAGAGGTAAACTCCATTGCCTCTCAAGGCAGATGTATTTTTTAAATATAAATCTATATACCGCCTTTTCCTCCAAGCAGATCATGGTGATGTACATGGTTCTCTTACTCCCCATTTTATCCTCGCAACAACCCCGTGAGGCAGGTTAGGCTGAGAGATGGTGGCTGGCCCATGGTCACCCAGTAAGCTTCACAGCCAAGTGAGGAATCAAACCCTTGTCTCCTAGGTCCTAGTCTGACACTCTAGCCACTGCACAACACTCTCTGCTTCAGTAAAGGACGCCCTTACCTTCGACACTGGACTTGACATAAGAGTGTAGGTTGAGTTCTCTTGGGTTCTCAATGAGCAAATTTGCAGCATGGTCTAATCCCAGTTGCCTGGCTCTTTGTGCTTTTGTTCCTTTGCTTCCCGTTTTATACGGCGCATACTAGGATAGAGAACAGAGGCTGGATGTAAAATGCATGTGGCGCCACACTCTACAGAATATCACAGAGCGTTGGTGACTTCAAGGTTGGATTACTACATTGCGCTCTATGTAGTGCTTCCCTTGCCCTCAATCTGGAAGCTGTAGTTAAGTTCAGGATGCTGCAGCATAGTTGCTGACAGGTGTGAGACCCTGTCAGTCTCTGCACAGAGATCAGCACTGGTTGCACATTTGCTACGGGGCCATGTTCAAGATGCTGGCATCTTAACAGCTTGGGAACAGCTTGTTCATGTGATCGCCTGACCCCACATATGCCCAGTCTGCCCCTTCAGTCTGTGGAACTAGCACTATTATAGGAGTCACATAACAGTCGTTCTGTACTTGTAAGTAATACATATTTTACCATGACAGCATCTGCACTCTGGAAGTCCCTGCCTATTGACATCTTTGTTCTTCTCATTTCGGCACCTGGTTAAAACATTTTTGTTTAGGCAAGCCTACCCAGACACACATATAGGTTATGTGTATTTCTATGTGTTATGTGTTTTCTAAACTAGTGTTAATCTTAATAATCTTTTGGAGATTTTAATACCTGTTTTAAATTAATGATTTTAGTATTTTATTTTACATTTTTGTAAACCACCTAGAAAGTATTTTTTTAACAATCAAATTGTATATAAATTTTGTTAAAGAAAATATTAAAAAGGGCAGTGACAAGAAAACAGGCATTTTCTGCCATTGGCCCAGCAATCTGAATGCCCTTCCCTCCACCATATTATTATTATTATTAATTATTAAAATTGGTATACCACCTTTCATCCATTGATTTCAGGGCGGTTCACGGCATATGACAATATAAAAACCACAATGAACATTTGTGAAGCAGCAACCATCAGTTACTTCAGACACCTTGTAAAGACTCATATTGTTGCCCAGGATTTCCCTACCTTGACCCATAAGACAGAACCTTGTTTTATACAACTAAATCCCCTGAATTCCTGTTTTATTTGTTTACTGCAGGTTTACGCTGCATTTTTGTTTCAGTTATAGTTATTTTTAAGTATCAATTCATAAATGCTTTAAATAAATATTTACTTTGATTTTTTTCAGCCACTAATTCTCATTATCTTTTTGCACTTTACAAGGAGCGTTCATAGCAAAAATCGCAAGAGGTACACAGAATGCTTTGCATAACAATTATATGAAAAAGTACACTCTGAGCCTTAAAAAAACATTCTTCTAGACAATGTTGAGCCAGATGGTTTGACTTGGCATAAGGCATTCTTCCTATGTTCCTAATTGAGAATGCATCCTAGTATTCACTCCCATAATCCTCTGCAATGAGGAAGAGGTTCTCAGAAGACAAAACATTTGTGGATAGGGGCATGGATGTTGGATGAAGCACTGCTTTAAAAGAATCTACTGGATTTACATTTTAAAAAGAAGATACTAACCACGTGGTCCAACTCCTCCAAGGTTCTGCAGTTTAATAAAGCAGTCAAAAGGCTTTCCGAGAGTTTTCCTTCTTTCTTAAGTTTCTGGATCGAAGCATGAACTTTTTTCGCAACAGTCCTAAGATTAAAAAGCAAAGGGTTAATGTCATACCAATTAATGCACATGTAGACACACCACTCCTAATTCTGCAGGCATCTCCCAGTGTGAAGAAAGAAATCTGCATGGACTCTGCGACTGCAAGGGACGTAGAGTACATTTACATAGTGTCCCACTTCATCGACAGAAAGGGCAACTTCCCAAGCCAAGGCAATGTGTCCATTAAACTGTCTTGAACTGGAGCTAATTCATTCAGCTCCACCAAAACTTTGGAGCGGACTGTGGCATCTCAGACAGGTTCTGCAATCCACCCTGGACAAACTGGCAGTGGGCAAGCCAGCTCCTTAGAGATTAATGCATTTCCTATATTATATCTCTCCCAACCTAAAGGCCTGTAGGAAGGCAATGTACCAGAACATCCTTCTAGGCAGCCTTTCTCAACCTGTGGGTCCCCAGATGTTGTTGGACTACAACTCCCACCACCCCTAGCTACCAAGGCCAGAGCTGAGGGATGATGGAAGTTGTAGTCCAACAACATCTGGGGATCCACAGGTTGAGAACCACTGTTAGAGCATTGGGAAAGGGCCCCAGCGCAGTAGTAGAGCAACTGGTTTGCATGCAGAAGGTCTCAGGTTAGGTCTTCAGCATCTCCAGGAAAGGTTAGGAGAGGCTCCTTCCTAAAACCCTGGAGAACCTGTCAGTCAGTGTAGACAAGACTGAACTAGATGGCTGACAGCCTCCTATGTAGCTTCTGCTCACCTGAAAACAAGTTCTAGTTTTAGGGGAGGCACCTCCTTAACTAGAAACCAATTCCCTTAGTAATGTTTCTTAGACATCCATTTGTGTTGCCTAGAAAACTTGGACAAGGTTTTTTCATTTTTTATAAATTCATGATGATGATGATTAATCCAGAATGCGGCAGCTAGACTAGTGACTAGGAATGGCTGCTGAGACCATATAACATTGGTCCTGAAAGATCTAACACTGGTTCCCAGTATGTTTCCGAGCACAATTCAAAGTGTTGGTGCTGACCTTTAAAGCCATAAATGGCCTCAGCCCAGTATACCTGAATGAGCGTCTCCACCCCCATTGCTCAGCTGAGGTCCAGCGCTGAGGGCCTTCTGGCGGTTCCCTCACTGCGAGAAGTGAGGTTACAGGGAACCAGGCAGAGGGCCTTCTCGGCAGTGACGCCCGCCCTGTGGAATGCCCTCCCATCAGAAGTCAAGGAAATAAACAACTATCTGTCTTTTAGAAGACATCTGAAGGCAGCCCTGTTTAGGGAAGTTTTCAATGTTTGATGTTTTATCATGATTTTAATATTCTTTTGGGAGCCGCCCAGAGTGGCTGGGGAAACCCAGCCAGATGGGCGGGGTATAAATAATAAATTATTATTGTTGTTATAAGCATTTAAAGACTCTAAACAACTTAGGCTCAAAATATCTGAAATGCCATGTCCTTCTCTACAGACTGTCTCAGCAGAAGGGGCACTCTCAGTAGTTCCACCACTTGTGGTTGGGGGCAAGAGAGGATATTCTCTATGGTAAGTTGTGGAATTCCTGCCCCACAAAAGTGTGCTTGGTACCTTCCCTATACAGCTTTTGGTGACCAAGGCCTACCCGATTCCTATGATTACAATCTGCTTTGACTGTTTTTAATTTTAAATGGTTGCAACCTGCCCTGCCCTGGGACCTGCAAGTGAAGGGAATGCCGTAATTTAAAACTTCTTCTTCTTCTTCTTCTTCTTCTTCTTCTTATTATTATTATTATTATTATTATTGACTTTTTATGTGTCCCCTGTCCCTTTCCATTGCCACCACCCTCCACCCCACAGCATACTGTAGTTCTTCCAGTGTCTGCTGCACTTCACGCAACGCATCGGCCTCCATGTTGTTTATAAGCTCTTTTCGATACCGGGCAATGAAAGGAATTGTATTGTCGTCGTTGAAGAGGCGGATTATGTTCGCACACACCCATTCTTCAACGCCAGTCCTTTGCGACAAGACCTGAAACAGTAAATAAGAAGCCCAGCAAGTCAATTGGGATTCTCACAAAAGAGAGTTGTTGTTGTAGTGTGGTATCTTGGTAGTCAAGAACCTTACTTGTTGATCAAATCAACTCCCGAACGTTGTAAACCCAGAAGTGAGTATTCCGGTTTGCAAACATTTTTTGGAAGCCGAATGTCCGACGGGGCTTCTGACTGGCTGCAGGAAGCTCCTGCAGCCAACTGGAAGCCGCGCCTTGGTTTTTAAACTGTTTCCAGAGTCAAACGGACTCCCAGAATGGATTAAATCTGAGAATCAAGGTATGACTGTATAAGCTTGTGCAGCCCAGTACAGTGGTACCTGTAGTTATGAACTTAATTTGTTCCAGAGGTCTATTCTTAACTTGAAACTGTTCTTAACTAGAGGCGTGCTTTCGCTAATGGGGCCTCTTGCTGCCGCTACGCCCCCGGCACACGATTTCTGTTCTCATCCTGGGGCAAAGTTCTCAACTCGAGGTAAGTCTTCCCGGTTAGCGGAGTTTGCAACCTGAAGCATTTGTAACCTGAGGCGTTTGTTACTTGAAGTACCACTGTACTGTGTGGGCAGGCTGGGGTGAGGCAACAGAAGCAAAAAGAGCTCCTTCTCTTTTCTCCTGGCAGTGAAGAATAAACCTGGCGACCCCCCCCCCCAAGATCTCGATCTCCAGCAGCCAAGGCCAGCTCACCCAGGAGGCAAGGTACGGCAATGTCCTCGTGGCAGCAGGCTCCAGGCAGCTGGGAGGGCTGTCAGATCTGGCCTCTGGCAAGCACACCTCTTGCCACCTCCTGCCACACCCTCCCATCAGATGTCAAGGAAATAAACAACTATCTGACTTTTAGAGGACATGTGAAGGCAGTCCTGTTTAGGGAAGTTCTTAATGTTTGATGTCTTTATCATACAGTGGTACCTCAGGTTACATATGCTTCAGGTTACAGACGCTTCAGGTTACAGACTCCGCTAACCCAGAAATAGTGCTTCAGGTTAAGAACTTTGTTTCAGGATGAGAACAGAAATCGTGCTTCAGCGGCATGGCAGCAGCAGCAGGCCCCATTAGATAAAGTGGTGCTTCAGGTTAAGAACAGTTTCAGGTTAAGAACAGACCTCCGGAACGAATTAAGTATTTAACCTGAGGTACCACTGTATTCTGTTGGGAGCCAGATGGACAGGGTATAAATTAATTAATATTTATTTATTTATTTGTTTGTTTGTTATTATTATTGAAACCATGTTGATTTCTTGTTGTTTTAAAATTAAATACCTCAAAAATTACCTCAGAGCAGCTAATGCTTAAAAAGAAATGGGGACATAAGAAACAACTGCCTTATATAGAGTCAGCTCATTGGGTCAATTCACCCCAGATGTGTCTACACTGAATGGCAGCATCTCTCCAAAGTTTCAGGCAGGGGACAATCCTGAGCCGTACCTGGAGATGCCAGGGATTCAATCTGGGATCTTCTGCATGCAAAGAAGGTGCTCTATCACTGAGTTACATCCATTCCCAATATAAAATATTGGGAATGAGAATTAACTGCCTATAAAACTGTTGTACTTCTCTTATGAATAAGCTTTAAAACCTGTAAACCAGAATGAAGGTGAACAAGATACACCGTTCTTTTTTAATTTTTCAGTATCTCCCTACCTGTGGAGTTTGTAAAGCCAAGTTCAATAATTTGAAACACAGAAACCTCCTATTCCCCCCTCCCCCGCCATTCTGTTCACAAATATCTGAATGACCTCTTTTTGATATTCCCTCATGAAACCCAACACTAATCGTAACCTTCCTGCGCCATTGCTTTCGCTCAGGGTAGGTTCTCATTAGAACAGGGGAAAGTATGCAATTTATTTTATAAAAATAAATAAAGGCTAATTTGCTTCCTGGAATACATCCAGCACTGCTATTATATACAACAGAAACCAAATTCATGCCTCGGTCCAGACCACAGGCTTTCTTTATGCTGCAACAGGTTTATGTGAGCTTTGTTATGAAAGGGAAAAGATCTCATACCTGCACAATGTCCCAGTTCATTTTATGGTCTTCGTCCAATTTGGCACTCGCCGCACATTTCACAGGCTTTCCCTGAGGACATGTGGCTGATTTTGATTTTTTTAAAGGAGGCTCGTCGAATGTAAAATCTTCTTCAGACTCTTCCGACTTCACTTTTCGTTTCGTTGCAGCGGCACTTGTGGAGGGTCCTTCGGCGTTCTCCAGGCTGTGGGCCGGGCGCCCTTTCACGGGGAGCATTTGGGGTGCGGATTTTGGCTTGACATCTTCCTCTTCCTTAGGCTGCAGCAGGTGAAACGTACCTTCGTTCCCTCCAGGAGCAGCAATAGGCACTGATGTGTCCTGCCCAAGCCACCAAAAACACGTTTAGAATGCACGTTGATGAAAATAAGAGAGATTAAACGCATGGATGTTGCACGGCCTCGTCACATGATGGCACCAGTTTCAGCCTCGCTCCAAGAGTCATAAATGGATATGCTGGAAGCCACTTTGGATGTACAACTGTAGGGTTCTGGCCATTCCATAAGCATAACCTCAGAACAAAAATGCATCACTAATAATAATAATAATTTATTATTTGTACCCCACCCAACTGGCTGGGTTTCCCCAGCCACTCTGGGCGGCCTCCAACGAAGATTAAAAATACATTAAAATGTCACACATTAAAAACTTCCCTGAACAGGACTGCCTTCAGATGTCTTCTAAATGTCAGGTAGTTGTTTATCTCTTTGACATCTGATGGATGGGTGCCACTACCGAGAAGGCCCTCTGCCTGGTTCCCTGTAACCTCACTTCTTGCAGTGAGGGAACCGCCAGAAGGCCCTCGGCACTGGACCTCAGTGTCCGGGCTGGATGATGGGGGTGGAGACGCTCCTTCAGGTATACAGGACCGAGGCCGTTTAGGGCTTTAAAGGTCAGCACCAACACTTTGAATTGTGCTCACTAAGTGAATGTAACTTTGTTATTAAGTTGTTTGAGTTTAAGTTTTGCGAGGTAAAGCTTTGAACCATATTTTTAGGCAGAATTATTTCAATACCAGACTCAGTTTTGTTCATCTAGAGCACGCACATCCAACTCCCAAGAGACTGCGATCTACTCCCAGTATTTAAAAAATCTACCCATTGTCATTGGCAAGAACTTGTTTGGGGGAGCTTTGCCCAGTTATTGAGCTTTCGGGGGGGGGAGTGCAAAGAAACGCTTGCACAACACTCCGCCACCCTCCCTCCTTTCCCCACTCTGCCGCCACCGCAGGGAATAGAAGCTTTTCCAGCGGCAACAGTGGCAATGGAACCTAGCACCAGAACGCACGAACATTCATTGCCCACTTTATTTAATCCCACGATCGACCTGGAGCACCACAGCAATCCATCTGTCGATCGCGGTCAACAAGTTGAGCATGTCTGATCTGGAGGCACAAAATTAATAATTCCAAAACGATGGACACCGACTTGGGTGGCTTTAAAAGAAGACTGGACAAATTCATGGAGAATAGAGCTATTGATAGCTACTAACTGCAATGGCTCAACTCTGCTGGAAGCAACAGGAAATAATAATAATAATAATAATAATAATAATAATAATAATAATAATAATAATAAATAATTTTATTTATATCCCACCCTCCCCAGCCGAAGCCGGGCTCAGGGTGGCTAACAACAATAAAACAGTACAAAAGTACAAAAGTACAGCATAAACAACATTCTAAAATCATTCATTATAAAATTAATTAATTAAAGAAGCTCTTGTGCTCAGGGCCTGCTTGAACGTTTCTCACAGGCTCTGGGAGCAGGATAATCGACCAGACGGGCTATTGGCCTGAAGATTCATGTGTTCAGAGACTTTCCCATTCTCTTCCATAAGTCATGGATTGTGCTGTCCGTGAGACATCAATTCATCTGATGCCCAGAACAAAATGAAAGGTCAGATTCTGCTTGCATGAAGTTCTGCATGCACACAGCAAAGGGTCTGCACAACTTTAGACTGTGGGTATGGGGATCTCCAAGTGAAGACCCCCTGCTCCCACAGAAATTTATTTTTACAAGGACACGGGTGGCGCTGCGGTCTAAACTACTGAGCCTCTTGCGCTTCCCAATCAGAAGGTCAGTGATCTGAATCTGCGTGACGGGGTGACCTTCTGTTGCTCTGTCCCAGTTTCTGCCAACCTAAGCAGTTCGAAAGCATACCAGTGCAAGCAGATAAATAGGTACCACTGTGGAGGGAAGGTAAATGGCGTTTCCGTGTGCTCTGTCACTCGTCATGGTCCTCTGTGCGTCAGAAGTGGTTTAGTCATGCTGGCCACATAACGAAAAAGCTGTCTGTGGACAAACACCGACTCCTTTGGCCTAAAGCGAGATGAGAACCCCATAGTAGCCTTTGACTCGACTTAACCATCCAGGGGTCTTTACATTTATGACAATTGTTATCCACTCTTTCCAATGCTTTGAAAAGTAAACTGCTTACCAAAAACGACTTACCAATTCCTCTTTTACTGCCACCTTCTTGGTCCTTTTCCTAGGCACAGCTGGTTTCTTCTGCGCAGCTACAGTGGGTTTTTTCGCTCTCGGCACTTTTGTTTTGGGCGCACTGGCCTTCCTTGCGACTTTCTTTTTGGGCTCCCATTCCTCTTCGTGCGTTTCCTCTTCCGATTCTGAAGATCTAAATAAAGAAGGAACTGACTTTAGAGAAGCTATATGCGATTCTGTTGTGTCAAAGAAAGGGGGAGGGAAAAACAAATTTTAGTATTTGAGGCCAAGGGGCACGCAAGAGATCTCAGAAGCACAATGGAGGGCAAGGATGGAGGTAAAAAGAACAAATTGCTACCGCCTCTTTCTGAGAAGCGGGGTGCCAATCATGAGCAACTCAGGATCTTGAAATTGTAGTTCTATCTTTGTGTTAAATTCAGCTAGCCGCCAGGGAAACAGGCAGAGGTGTGGAACAGTGGCATGGGCTTTGCTGAGGTGCTCTGATTGGTGTGTGATTCTGAGGAAAATTTTATGCTTGGTTGTACATCTCTCTATGTTCAAGGCGTGACCTAAGAAAGAAAGAAACCTTTCTGTTACATTTCCTTCGAAATGTACACAGCTTTTGTTCCGTTTCCTCAGCAAACTGTTATCAAGACTTTTCTCTTTGGATTCCATCTGCGTTACTCTCACTGCAAGAAGCCAAGTTACAGGGAACCAGGCAGAGGGCCTTCTCGGTAGTGGCACCCGCCCTGTGGAACACCCTCCCACCAGATGTCAAAAAGAACAACTACCACCAGACTTTTAGAAAACATCTGAAGGCAGCCCTGTTTAGGGAAGCTTTTAATGTTTGATGCATTACTGTATTTTAATATTTTGTCGGAAGCTGTCCAGAGTGGCTGGGGAAGCCCAGCCAGATGGGCAGGGTATAAATAATAAATTATTATTAATATATATTATTATAGTGACTTTGCCAAAAGAGGAGACCTATACAAAGTGTGAGCAACCAAGCCAAACACTTGCTCACCCACCATATATTGTGGTCCACTAGGGCAGGGGGAGGCCCCCGACACCACACAAACACACGTGGCATCATTATAGGTGTGGCCTACAGCAAAAAACACTAACCTGAAGTTATCAGTGGTTACAAGCAGCTCACTACTTCAATCAAGAATGCCCTGACACAGTGTCACTCCATGTCATTATGGGATGCGAATCTTGTGGGAACTGCACACTGCCTGGCAAGCCGGCCTCTTCCACCCAGCCTGGCTGACTGCAATGTGAAAGCTGTGGCGGCTGGTTTGGGGCATGCCGCTTTTGGTTTTGTCATCATGACCTCAATATTTAAAATGTTTTTAACTGTTTTTAACTTGTATGTGTTTAAATCCGGGGTTCTTTGTGGGATGTGCCTGGGAAGAGGGGGAGCAGAGAGAGTGGGGAGGGAATCGCAGTGGTTCAGGGTAGGGGGGGAGGTATAGTGCTGGAGGTGGGGTAGGCCGGGTAAGGGGCACACGGCACAGGCAGTTGGTGACTGTGACCTGTGCCAAACCCTTCTCCTACCTGGGGAATTGCGGTTGTCCTGTCAGCCAACCCTTGGGTCTGGGGGTGCTGTTGCCGAATGCCAAGTCGGCTCGAAGTTAAGGGCTCCCCGTTTGCAGAATGCTCTCCCCCAAGGAGGCTCGCCTGGCGCCTTCATTATACACCTTTAGGCGCCAGGCAAAAACGTCCCTCTTCAACCAGGCCTTGGGCTGACTGGCATCCGATGCCCTTTTAAATATGTTGTGGGAAAGGGGGATTATTGGTTTGCTGTTGTTGCTATTTTTATTATGTATCTTGTGTTTTTTTATATTGTAACTTTATGTTGTGAACCGCCCTGAGATCAACGGGTGACAAATTTAATAAATAACAAATCATCATATGGGAAATTTAAATTGGCAGTTAGCACACAGCTGCCACTAGGTGAGCCCAAATCCCAGAGCAAGCATTAACCCTAGTTTACTGTGTTGGACACCTGGAACACTAACAGCTGCATGAGGACCAGGCCTGACAGGAAATATTTACTGTGCAGTAGGCCCACTAATACCACTTTAGGAACACCATCAGTTACTATATCCTCCAGTGCTGACCACTAGGTTCTCTTAGCGGATCACATCAATGTGGCTAAGTTGACTTGCTTCATAATACAGTGGTACCTTGGGTTTTCAAACGTTTCTGTTGATGAACATTTCAGCTTACGAACGCCGTAAACCCAGAAGTAAATGCTTCGGTTTTCGAACACACCTCAGAAGTCGAATATGCCACATGGCTTCTGCTGTGTGCAAGATCCTGAGGCCTAGCTGTTGGCTGTTGAGTTTTCAGTTTTCGAACGTTTCAGAACTCAAACGGTCTTCCAGCACGGATTACGTTCGAAAACTGAGGTAACTACTTAAATTCAGAATGCCCCAACCGCCAACCAATGGGTGGAGGTGTAATAAAGTTTTTTTAATACATGGTCAGTCCAATTGAAATTTAAACTTATTTTAAAAATTTGTCATTTGTTCATGAGCTATTGTTATCCAAACCGAGATATACCATATTTTTCGCTCTATAGGACACACTTTTCCCCTCCTAAAAAGTAAGGGGAAGTGTGTGTGCGTCTTATGGAGCGAATGCAGGCTCCATGGCTTCAGCGAAAGCAATGCAAAGCCTCCGGAGCACAGCGGGAGCGCTCCCGCTGCGCTCCGGAGACTTTGGGCGGCTATCCCTGAAGCCAGGAGAGCGAGAGGAGTCGGTGCGCACCGATCCCTCTTGCTCTCCTGGCTTTGCTTCGCTGGAGAGGCGCTGCGCAGTGCCCCTTCAGCGAAGCAGGAGGAGAAATGGAAGGGGCTCCATTTCTCCTGCCACTTCGCTGAAGGGACACTGTACAGAGAGGCAGAGAATTTTTTTTTTCTTGTTCTCCTCCTCTAAAACTAGGTGCATCTTATAGAGCGAAAAATACGATGAACTTATTTTTAAAAATTCTGCCATTTGTTCAGATGAGCTATTGGTATCCAAACTGCTAGCATCTGAAACAAAAAAAGTACAAGGTACAATCATCATTTTAGATGCAGCCATAATGGACAGTTTCAATTTATTCCAATGTATTATATCCGTATGTATAACTTTTCAAACCATACTACAGTTAGACTGATGCAACTTGCTCCAATTATGGGTAATTTGGATTTTAAAAGTACTACACACAAATTTCAACTCACGATTTAAGGAAAGAAGGCAGCTCATCTTCTGGAATCCCTGGTTTTGGTGCTGTTCTAGCTCTTCTAGGCAGAGCCGACATCTGAAAGGTGAAATATCCAATATCAAAACACTGTTTCCCACTTCAATCAGTTGGTGCAAATATAACGCTTTCAACTGCTTAACTGTGACTCTGGATACTGACAGCAGAAGGCAGGATATAAATAATAACAATAATGTGTGATTCAGTATTCCAGATCAGGCCATAGTATCCTGTGATCCTTCTCTCATCCTTTCCTTAGGAGCCCACTTTCTCCTTATGGGGATAAACCACACTTAGCCGTTTACTTAAGCAATTTTAGGAAAATCTTACCTCACCTTAAGAAGTCAAATTATACAACAGATATTTGGCCAGATCAACAGCTCCCTTTAAAATATCTCTCTTGGGCTGAGCCAACAAACCAACCAGGAACTCTTCCACTAACCATAGTTTCCAGTTTCATGTAAACCAAGAAACTATGGCTAACAGGTTCAGAACAAGTAGGCTAGGACACCAAATTTAACCCACGGCTTCATATCCCACATTGTTCTGAAGCCATAGCCATTTCTTGGCCACTTTTCACTGAGTTATACCAAACTGTCACAGCACAGTGTTGAAACAACCCAGCTGGGCTAGTTCTGGATTTGAACAGAGCTTCATTATATGGTCATCTCTCTGTAGTTTACTTGGGTCCCTAGCAAGCAGGAAGCAGTCGGCCATTTTAGCCTCGCTGTTTGCATAAAGAAGCAAATATCCAGCATGCTAACAGCAATCTTATTTGTATTGATTTACAAAGCCCTGAACAGCTTAGGTCCAGGGGATGTTGGGCATTGTCTGAACCCCTTGTATCTCAGCTCAGTGACCGAGATCATCTGTAGGGGCATCACTGGTCGTTCCTCAAGTTGGTGTGGCTCATTTGTCAACCAGAAACCAAGCCTTGAGTGTCATCACCCCGGTCAATAGATTCGAACTTAAAAATGGAAAGCGTAATGCTGGTGGTCAACAAAAGAGGTTTAAAGATTGTCTCAAGGCAAATCTTAAAAAAAAAATGTAGTATAGACACTAACAATTGGGAAACACTTGCCTGTGAGTACTCCAATTGGAGAACAGCCTTTACCAAAGGTGTCATGGGCTTTGAAGACACTTGAACTCAGGACAAGGGAGAACCGTGCTAAGAAGGCACGCTTGGCAAATCCACACCGTGATTAACTCCTGCCTGGAAACCAATACCCCCACTGTGGAAGAACGTGTGGATCCAGAATTGGCCTCCACAGTCACTAACAGACTCACTTTTAAAACCGTGTTTATGGAAGACAATCTTACTCGGCTACGAGTGATCACCAAAGAAGAAGAAGAAGACAATAGATTCAACAGGTGCCTGCTGAAAACGTTTCTACTCCGCCAGGGGCCTATGCAGGCAATTAAGAATACATCCATCCACAACAGTTAATTGATGCCTGACTTTTTATATGGTTTTTACTGTACGGTTTTATCTACTTCTGTTGTAAACCACTTTGATGGCAGCATAAAAATATTTTCATAAACATAAATTAAGGTTGTACAAACAAGCTACAAGCAGCTGTAAGAGAAAACAGAACAAAAGAAAGAGGACGTGATTAAGAATCACCTTCCTCTTCCTTTCTCCCTAAAAATCCTCTCTATTACTTTTTTTTACCAAGTAAAACAAAGGCAGGCAGATGATTGGGTGCAGCGCTTCCCTTCTTTTAAAAAACGGGAGTGCCAGGACACTGTGCATGTCCATAAGGAGGAATGGGCAGATTTTTGAGGGGGGGGGGAACAATGGAGGAGAACAGACACCAGGCCTGGGGGAGTAGCATAAAGGTAAGGGTACCCCTGACCATTAGATGCAATTGCGGACGACTCTGGGGTTGTGTGCTCATCTTGCTTTACTGGCCGAGGGAGACGGCGTTTGTCCGCAGACAGTTTTTTCCGGGTTATGTGGCCAGCATGACTAAGCCGCTTCTGGCGAACTAGCACAGAGCATGGAAACGCCTCCTGCTGGAGCGGTACCTATTTACCTACTTGCACTCTGACGTGCTTTCGAACTGCTGGGTGGGCAGGATAGCATAGTATGGTGCGTATTACACACCTACTTCATGTTAGGCCACCAAAAGGGGGGGGGGAATCCTGGGAAGTAATAAGGCTGATCTGATAAAGGTCAGGACAAGCAGCTGTCAAAAGGGACCAGCAAAAAGTGCACCTTGCTGCTGAGTCTCAATGAGCCCACTGAGGACCAGCTGTGGTTACACAAGAGAATGCCACATATGCACATGGGCACTCATATTATGAATGAACAGCATTCTTCGCCAGCCTGGCACCTTCCATGTGCTTTGGACCACAACTGCGCTGGCAGTGGCAGATGGGAGTTGTAGTCCAAAGCACAGGGAGGGGAATCAGCTTGGCAAAGCCTGCTGCACAGAAATAAATTAAAGTTTGCCTCCACGGCATATGGCATTTGAAAACAAATGTGATCAAGCCTTTTATGGTAAACTGATATGGTTTTTGTTTGTTTTTTTGTAGGAAGGCGACTCCGGTTGTCACTTGCCCTTGTATCATCACAAACTTGCAGCGATCCGACAGCCCTGGCGTTGCTTGGCGGTCTGCCTTCTTCCCCACGCCCCGTTTTTATTCCAGAACCCACCGGGCACTCGGGAGAACCCCACACGTCTGAACGCAGCTCCCCGCTGTCGCCCCGGAAGCTCCCGAGTTCCCCGCATCCCTCCCTCTACACGCTCCTTGTTCATCTCCTCTCCACACTCACCTTCCCGTAGCGGGTGTTTCCCGGCGGCGCCAAGAGCCGGGTGTTTTGTTGTTGAAGGCGACGCCTTCTCCTTGCGCCCCTCCAATCGCGGCTGCAGGCTCGGCGTTTGAAAGCGGCGCGCAGCGCCACCGGAGCCTGCGGGGGAAACCCAGGCTCTCCAAGACCCGGCAAGGCAAGCGGCGAAGGGGAGGAGCAGGAAGTGATTGCTGCGCGGCGCGACCAGGCCCCGGAACAGCCCCGGCTCCAATCAGGAAAGAGAGCTGAGCGCGCTCCGGATTACTTCGGGAGCCAAGGGCGGGGGAGGGAGGGAGTCGGAAAGGGGGATCTTCTTGTTCCCCAGGTCGCCCCTTGCCACGAGAGAAGCCCATGCGGGTGCCTATGGTGACCTGAGGATCCATAGCGATCTAAGGATGAGGTCTTGCTCACGGCGCAATCCCGTGCGTAATTACGCGCGTTTTGGCTCGCTGGGCTCAATGGGAGTTTCTCGCTTGGGTGGGGAAGGTGGGACTCCGCTAGGTGTTGCTGGACCATAGCTGTCAACTTTTCCCTTTTCTTGCGAGGAATCCTATTCGGAATAAGGGAATTTCCCGTAAAAAAGGGGAAGCGTTGACAGCTATGTAGCTGGACTGCAAGTCCCCTCACCTTCGGTCGGCATGGCTGGTGGTCAAGAAATGATGGGAGTTGGGGTCCAAGGACATTTGGGGGGACCAGAAGATGCTTGTCCTGGGAAATAGGTTTAGCAGGGAGAACATCACACTTAGAATGTTGTTTAGTCGTGTCCGACTCTTCGTGACCCCATGGACCAGAGCACGCCAGGCACTCCTGTCTTCCACTGCCTCCCGCAGTTTGGTCAAACTCATGCTGGTAGCTTCGAGAACACTGTCCAGCCATCTCTTCCTCTGTCGTCCCCTTCTCCTTGTGCCCTCCATCTTTCCCAACATCAGGGTCTTTTCCAGGGAGTCTTCTCTTCTCATGAGGTGGCCAAAGTATTGGAGCCTCAGCTTCAGGATCTGTCCTTCCAGTGAGCACTCAGGGCTGATTTCCTTCAGAATGGATAGGTTTGATCTTCTTGCAGTCCATGGGACTCTCAAGAGTCTCCTCTAGCACCGTAATTCAAAAGCATCCATTCTTCAGCGATCAGCCTTCTTTATGGTCCAGCTCTCACTTCCATACATCACTACTGGGAAAACCATAGCTTTAATTATACGGACCTTTGTCAGCAAGGTGATGTCTGCTTTTTAAGATGCTGTCTAGAATAGAACACTTAGAATAGTAGTTCTCAAAGGGTGTGGCATGTCATACTGGTGTGGCAGCAGAACGTGGGCGAAACCGAGGGAGGCAGTATTTGGAGGCATGGTCGTCATGACTAGTAACTATCCGCCATTATCTTGCATATATAATCTTTTAAAACCTCCAAGCTGCTGATACCTTGTATCAAATTCCACAGTTTAACTGTGGATTGAGCTCCCCTCTTCCCCGTCCCCATGTCTTGAACAGTTAACATAGGAAGAGCTGGACATGGACTTAACGCTTTCCCCCCTTAACAGTGAAATCCTGTGCATATATTCATCCCGTTTTGTTCAATGGGACCTACTCTATGGAAAATGGATATAGGATTGCAGCCCATTGTCCCCCAATAAATCACTCGCTTTAGGTGTTCTTTTACTGGTTTATTTTGTAGCTTTTAATGGTTTTTTGTTTGTTGTTTTTTCCAAAGCCAAGGTCATAAAGAATATAACGTTTCTGCAGTTTTCTACCTTTTGGCCACTAGGTGCTGCTGTGTGCTGTCAAGCATTTATTTCCCACTTGGCAGCCCAACGTGTTTTAAAACCCACAGGGCTGTGTGCGTGATTATTCATCATTATTGCTGCTACGTGAATAATTAATACCAAGAGTGTGCAGAACTCACAGTGGGGTGAGGGGAAGGTTTCATGGTGGCATCTACCTCCCTCCCACAGATTAAGGGGGGGGGGTCTGATCAGGGAAGGCGAGCTTTCTGCATACCCGCCAAGTATCTCCCACGAATTACAATTGCTGGGAGAGAAATGTCTAAATATGGCTCATACTTAGCATGTATATGCTTCAGAGCGTTGGTCCACAGCTGGTGGGTCAGGAGATGCTTCTGCAGGGAGGGGGAGTCTGTGGCCCTCCAGATGTCACTCAACTTCAAATTCCATCATCCCTGACCATGAAATTACTCTGCCTGGGGCTGATAGGAGTTGGAGTCCAACACCATCTGAGGGGGCCCACAGTCTCCTCATTCCTGGCTCACAGCTTCACCCAAGGTGGGTCACTACAGCAGAACAACCACTGTCCAAATACGTGGTGTGTTTTTTTAAAGCAATTAAGAAGTGGGTCCCCAACTGCCTGTGGGAGCTAAAGGCTCCTCAGCTTGAAGACAACTGACTTTAGAGCAGGCATGGCCAAACTTGGCCCTCCAGCTGTTTTGGGACTACAGTTCCCATCATCCCTGACCACTGGTCCCATTAGCTAGGGATGATGGGAGTTGTAGTCCCAAAACAGTTGGAGGGCCGAGTTTGGCCATGCCCGCTTTAGAGGGTTCGAGATGTTTCCTATACAGTGGTACCTCAGGTTACATATGCTTCAGGTTACAGACTCCACTAACCCAGAAATAGTGCGTCAGGTTAAGAACTTTGCTTCAGGATGAGAACAGAAATTGTGCTCTGGTGGCGTGGCGGCAGCAGGAGGCCCCATTAGCTAAAGTGGTGCTTCAGGTTAAGAACAGTTTCAGGTTAAGAACGGACCTCCGGAACGAATTAAGTACTTAACCCAAGGTACCACTGTATTTCTATTTCAGTCTTCCTCACAACAGCCATGCTGGGTAGGCCAGTATTGTTACCCAAGTCTTGCTGGCTGAAGAATAAACTAAAGACCTCACATCTGCATTATATATTTAAAGCGGTGTCATCCCACATTATAGTCATGGCTTCATCCAGTGAATCCTGGAAACTATAGTTCGTTAAGAGTGCTGAGAGTTGTTAGGAGATCGCTCTTCCACCTCGGAGTGAGAATTCCCAGCTTGGTTTAGTAATCAATCCCTCTTCCTGGGAATCTCTTAACCTTAGCAAAGTACTCTTCCCGGGAGTCTCTGGAGGAAGCCATGACTGTTTAAAGTGGGATGATGCAATCTTAAATGTACTGTGCAGATGAGACTTAAAGCTGAGGTATAGTGGCTTGACTCTAGGTCTACAAAGGATTTGAGCCAGGGTTTTCCTGTTGCACTGCCCTGTCTCAGCAACGATATCAACCTGTCCCTGGACTTAATATTTAAGATGAAAAAATATTGTACAAGAACAGCTGGGTCTCTCATTCACACACATTCCCTCCCTCACACACTGATTGTGTCATGTGTAGGTTATAGGCCAGAGGATTGCCAACTTAAAAAAAAACACACATATCCCTGCTCCTGTGCCCTGAACAGCAGGTGTTCTGCAGGATAATTATTACGCTGTGAAAAAACTACCCTAGTTAACTCCGGCATGTGTGGCTGGCTGTTCCTATTAAAGGGTCAGATCTCTTTGGTCAGGTAAGCTGGCAACCATAACAGAACATTTGTCCTGAAACAACCTTTGTAATCAGGAGGGGAAGGGATATGGGATACACCCACCATCTTCCTTTGTATGCGCAGAGGTTGTGTGACTATAAATATCCCAGGCTATAAATGTAAATATTTTGCCCTCGTTAATTTGTGTGTGTGTGCGCGCAATATTTGTGATGAAAGGATTTGGTGCGCCACAAAAATAGCTGTATGCGTCACCTGCTTCCTACGGTGCTTTGCAGCAGGACTCCGTGTCTTCCGATGAAGCAAAAGCAAACTTCATTCATCGCTTTGCATAGTTTGAAATCGTGCAGAAGCAGCGTAACTGATTGTACAATGAGAACTACGACGACGACAACAGTACTTGCATGAATGAGAAGGTCCGTTCAACATCACGCTGAAGAGAAGTTTCAGTAATAATGACGAAAAACATAGTCTGGTTTTCAGTGGCGTAGCAAGGTCAGGTGGTACCCAGTGCAGAAAATATCTGGTGACTGTCCCCCCATTGAAATTATTAAAAGAAGGGGAAATAAGATACAGTTGCAAGTGTTACTTTCTGGTTTATTTACTTAACATTCTGAGCATAAGCACGTAAAACCTTTTTTCCTAACTTTGTTCTCTGCAAATTTTGAAATCACATCACATCAAAATCAATTTCTTTTGCTACTTTGTCACCCCCTTCAGTGATGACACCTGGGGTGAACCGCACCCCACACACACCACCGCCAGTTTTAGATCGGGCGTAAGACTCAAGCTCCACTAAGCCAAAACACTGGGAACTAAGGCTTATGTCGTGTCCCGTGATGAACAATTATGTTGTGCACTGACACAAATTGGCCTTGCTTATAATTTGCCCTCCACGCACCCACTTTTCCTTGGTCCTTCAGGCCCAAATCCAGACAGGGAGGGTGGGGTGCCATGCCTGGGACCCGCAAAGTTCCAGGAGCTCGTCCTACTCTTGAGTAGGACCCTGGCAGAGACACATGCCCGACTGCCATGTTCCCTCCCTCCTAGTCTATCATTCAGGAGCTTCAAAAGCTTTCTTCAGCCAAAACATCACAGCGACTGACACCAACAGACGCCAACAGACTTAGGGATCCACAGAGTCTTTGCAGCTTGCGTAACAGACATCAGCAACTCAGCATTTTGGCTAATCTACTTTATTTACAGTGGTACCTCGGGTTACAGACGCTTCAGGTTACAGACTCCGCTAACCCAGAAATAGTACCTCGGGTTAAGAACTTTGCTTCAGGATGAGAACAGAAATTGCATGGCGGTGGCGCGGCAGCAGCGGGAGGCCCCATTAGCTAAAGTGGTACCTCAGGTTAAGAACAGTTTCAGGTTAAGAATGGACCTCCAGAACGAATTAAGTTCTTATATGTACATATAAACACACATGGAGCACTGCAACATGGCTCCCTCTCTCTCTAGCATCAGACAGCAAAGAGAGAAAGAACAAAGGACAATAGTCCCACTTCACGGAACACGGTAACACAAACATCCTGTCTCCGTCACTTCCCACTCTGTGGAGTCAAAACAGACACCATCATGTGATACACAACAATCCCATGACTGCAACCACGGAGCAGGAATTCTAACACAAAAATGCCCCACATTTTCCTGCTCCTGTGTTAGCTTGTGAAGCATCTGAGCCTTGCTTTACGACCAGACGAAATAATTCATGCCGATTTGTTGCCTCCACCCATTGCTGGCAGGGTGGGTTAAACAGAGTGACATGGGAGAAGATCTACCCACCGTGGAAGAATGGCAGATGAAGGTTACAGACTATATGGGACTGGCAGAAATGACCGGCAGAATCCGAGACCAGGGAAAAGAGACGGCGGAAGAAGATTGGAAGAAATTTAAGGACTATCTTAAGAAATATTGTAAAATTATGGAATGTTAGAACGATGTTGATTTAGAAATTAAATGGTTTTCAGCTGTAATGATTAGGTAAATAAGAAAAGAAAGGTCAAAAATTAAATAGAAATTAGGGGAGGGATTTGCTGATTTGAATTAATTAGAGATTGGAATACAGAAAGGGGAGGTATGAGGAGGTTGGGAAAAAAGATTTTTATGAATATAAGGGATTGAAATTATATTTGTTGTAGTATGTATTTTGTATGTATGTATTTTTGTTTTTTCTGTTTTTTTCTGTTTTTTCTATTTTATATAAATCTTTAAAAAACCTTAATAAATATCTTATAAAAAAAATAGAGTGGACATGGGGTGCAGGACGGGTACCTCCAGATGCTACAAGGATGGCAGTGACACTGGTTCTAATGATTTGGGTTTCCCAGCACTACTGTGATGGAAAACGGGTAACAGTAATGAGAAACCCTAAAGCAAGTTTTGAAAATAAACCACCTTTTCCATAGAGGCATCAAGAAACAGTGCATCTTGGCAGCTTCAGGGCGATGAACGTAATTGATTTTGAGCCGGAACGGGTCACTTAATTATTTATGTCTTGGTGCATTTTTAGGCCTGTTCCCTTTCTCCTCTAAAAGATGCTCTCAAGGACTTTGCACAAAATAGACGTTTTGACAAACCATAGGCCCCTGCAGGTCTTTTCTGTTGCAAGGAGGTTGTGTGTGTATGTGTGTGTGTGTGTGTGTGTGTGCAAGTGGTATGTTACAAGAGGGTACCTAACCCCCCCCTCCCCACTTCTTTTTAACTCCAACACCAGACCATTGTGTTCCAGTTCCACATCCATAACAAGACATTTGAACTCTCATGTCATTCAGTCTTTCTGTAAAGGTAAAGGGGACCCTTGACCATTAGGTCCAGTCGTGGCCGACTCTGGGGTTGCGGCGCTCATCTCGCTTTATTGGCTGAGGGAGTCGGCGTACAGCTTAAGCTGGTCATGTGGCCAGCAATTCAATGTATTCCTGTTGTATTTTATTATTTTATTGATACTGTAAGTGAGCCGGAACTGGTCTGTGACCGTAATAATAAAATTCAATTCAGTAATCCCCAAATCCTATGATTCTATTCTACCACATATGATTTAGTTGATAGTCCTGCATTGCAGGAGGGTTGGACTAGGTAAACCATGGTGTCCCTTCCAATTCTAGAATTCTGTGAACCTGTAAAGCTGTTCCTTACACTGCACTATTTTGAAAGTGTGAACATTTCCCTTTTTAATTGCTGACAGGCACAGTCTTTTGATATGTTGGGGAAATGGTCACATTTGCCAACAGCTGTGAAAGCTGCCATATTTCACCGAGTTATCATGTGGGATTTAGGATTGTAGAAGCCATCGCAACGCTTATTTCTACCTACTTCACACAGCTGTTAATCTAATCGGGTGCTTTCGGCATGGAGAATCGGAAACCTTGCGCCATCTCGGAACTGACAACACTGTAACCGATTTATATAAATGCATGCTTTCAATTAGTACTAATTTAGAGCCCATATTTCCTCTTTAAGAAAGAATGTAATGTTCCATCATGAGTTGTGAGCCAATCCCTCTCCTAAATGCGTTTGGATTTTGTTTTCCAGGTGGGAGACTTCAGCTATTTAGTTGTTTGGATGTCAGTCAATTACACTTAGGAAGCTCTGGCTAAATATATTTATGAAGATTTTCACATCATTAAGGCATGGAATTCAATCAGCAAGCATGAGCAGAGTAGGAGCTGCACTTAGTTGGGATTTTGCCGTCGTTGGTATTCTCTCACCTCCTGGCACAGAGAAGGTGATTTTCCCTCCTTCTTCCTATAATTGCTTTCACTGGCATGGATTTTGCTGCTGGAAAATGAATTGTCCATTCTTTTTACTGAACTTGCTCCTAGGCCATTCAATGCAGCCTAACGTTCAGACTGCCTACACGCTGACCTGTCTGCATCTCAAAAATGTCGTTTTCCTCGACCCAGAATTGTTCATCTTTTTCTTCAGCATGCTGCTTTCAATCTAGATTGATTCTGGATCCTGCTGGCCCCTCCGGCTTTCTTAAACAGGTAAGCAGAAGAGCTAATTTATTGCATTTATATCCTACCTTCTTCTAAAAGGAGTACATGGATCACACACACACACACACACACACACACACACACTGCTAATCACTACAATGACCCTGTGAGGTAGTTTAAGAGGCTGCAACTGGCCCAAGGTCAACCAATGAGCTTCACAACTGAGTGGGGATTTGAACCCTGATCTCCCAGGTCCTAGTCCTACACTCTAACCCATGGGTAGGCAAACTAAGCCCCAGGGGCCGGATCCGGCCCAATCGCCTTCTAAATCCAGCTTGCGGATGGTCCGGGGATCAGTGTGTTTTTACATGAGTAGAATGTGTGTTTTTATATAAAATGCATCTTTGGGCTATTTATGGGGCCTGCCTAGTGTTTTTACATGAGTGGAATGTGTTCTTTTATTTAAAATGCATCTCTGGGTTATTTGTGGGGCATAGGAATTCGTTCATACATTTTTTTTACAAAATATAGTCCGGCCCCCCACAAGGTATGAGGGACAGTGGACCGGCCCCTGCTGAAAAAGTTTGCTGACCCCGATGTAGAGTAAAGTCAAGCCTTTTCAGATAGCTTTGAAACAGAATTATTGATCTGGAAGTAATATTCTAATAATAATAATAATAATAATAATAATAATAATAATAATAATAATAATAAATCATCAACTAGGTAACTGGAGATCTGCACTCAGAAATTTGCCCAGCTGTATCCAATCAGCATATGAAACCACCTTCACCCATATCCCATTTGTTTATTCACAATTCAATTGTCTTTCTTTTCATAACAGCTGCACTGTTTTACCAGTATTTTGTGGCCGAACCTTTCGCCGCAACCACAATTAGGGTGTTTGAAAACATTCTGTGGCATCCCTTCTTCAGCCCCATTATGGACAACCCTGCGGGTGGGGGGCGTTGTGCAGGAACGGGGGCGCCTTCCCCTGCAACAGTGATGGCAATCGTGATAAATGAGAGTGCTTCTTGTACATTCAATCCTTGCTGGGAGTTTTGCATGCTCCTTCCACCAGATAGTGCTGTTTCTCCGCACAGCCCACTTAGAATGCGCAGGCCATGCAAAGGTCAGGGGCTGGCTCAAGGTAACACACAGCCTGCAGCTGTCAAGCCTCTCTCATTTCTCTTTGCTGTTTCACAGGCAAAGAAGAGTGAAAAGCAGCAGCCCATGAAAAGCCAATCCCTAGGTCTACAAGCATTGGAGGCAGTGAGAGATTTTACTTTCGTGGGCTCCATGATCACTGCAGATGGTGACAGCAGTCACGAAATTAAAAGACGCCTGCTTCTTGGGAGAAAAGCAATGACAAATCTAGACAGCATCTTAAATAGCAGAGACATCACCTTGCCAACAAAGGTCCGCATAGTTAAAGCTATGGTTTTCCCAGTAGTGATGTATGGAAGTGAGAGCTGGACCATAAAGAAGGCTGATCACTGAAGAATTGATGCTTTTGAATTATGGTGCTGGAGGAGATTCTGGAGAGTCCCATGGACTGCAAGAAGATCAAACCTATCCATTCTGAAGGAAATCAGCCCTGAGTGCTCTCTGGAAGGACAGATCCTGAAGCTGAGGCTCCAATACTTTGGCCATCTCATGAGAAGAGAAGACTCCCTGGAAAAGACCCTGATGTTGGGAAAGATGGAGGGCACAAGAAGGGGACGACAGAGGACGAGATGGTTGGACAGTGTTCTCGAAGCTACCAACATGAGTTTGACCAAACTGCGGGAGGCAGTGGAAGACAGGAGTGCCTGGCGTGCTCTGGTCCGTGGGGTCACGAAGAGTTGGACATGACTAAATGACTAAACAACAAGTCTACAAGCAGTCCTCAAAACCAAATGAAGCAATAACTTCCCATTGCTACGTGCATTATTGCAAATTTTATATTGTGATGATTTAACTGGGGATTTCCCAAACTTGGGTCTGCAGTTGTTTTTGGACTACGGTTCCCATCATCCCTGACAGCTGAATAAGGATGATAGGATTTGTAGTCTAACAACAGCTACAGACCCAATTTTGGGAAACTGTATTAAACAGTGGATGAAGAGCCTGTGGACCTTCATATGTTGTTGGACTCCAACTCCCATCTAGGGTTGCCATAAGCCCATAATTTCCCAGACATAGCCAGAATACTGTAGTCGGAAGCAGAGTACGAACGGAAATTGCAAAAATATCCTGGAAAATCTTTAAATCATCCCACTGCTGGCTGGGGCTCATGGAAGTTGTATTCCAACAGCTTCCTGAGAGGCACAGGTTGAAATAACATTTTAATTTATTTTATTTAAATTTATTAATTTTTCAGTTTAAAGTTTTACACTCAATTATTAACAGCCAACATAAAAACAAGATCCCACAGAATCTCCTGAACTTGCCTCCTCTGTTTTGTGAGTCCTTTTGCTAACCATTTCCTCCTGCACCTTTAATAATGATCCAAATCTTTTACATCTCCGTGATATCCTAAATTCAACATTAAACTACAAATGTCATTCCAATCCTACTAATGATGTTAGCTGTTTACAATGGTTTTTAATGTAAATTATAAATTTCCCCCATTCCTTATTAAAATTTTGGTCTTCCTGATTTCTGATTCTTCTGGTCATTTTTGCCGTTTCAGCATAAGCCATCAACTTAATCTGCCATTCTTCTCTGTTTGGGATTTTGTCTTCTTTTCACCTCTGGGCCATTAACATCCGAGCAGCTGTGGTCGCGTACATAAATAGCCTTACCTGCTCCATTGGGATTTCGGCACCTATGAAATAACATTTTCAAATTGCTGTGTTAAGGCAAGAAACACACACACACAAATTGTTAGAGGTGATTTGGGTCTTTCCTGCCTCTCCACCCCCAAATCCAGTAGTAAATGAACATGTGAGGCCATCTCACACTGAGGCAGCCCCTTGCCTAGCCCCAGATTGTCTGTCAGCCTTGACTGACAGCAGTTCTTTAGCAGTTCTACATAGATATTTTTAGTGATGTATGGAAGTTAGAAGTGAGAGCTGGACCATAAAGAAGGCTGATCGCCGAAGAATTGATGCTTTTGAATTATGGTGCTGGAGGAGACTCTTGAGAGTCCCATTGACTGCAAGAAGATCCAACCTATCCATTCTGAAGGAAATCAGCCCTGAGTGCTCACTGGAAGGACATATCCTGAAGCTGAGGCTCCAATATTTTGGCCACCTCATGAGAAGAGAAGACTCCCTGGAAAAGACCCTGATGTTGGGAAAGATGGAGGGCACAAGGAGAAGGGGATGACAGAGGATGAGATGGTTGGATAGTGTTCTCGAAGCTACAAGCATGAGTTTGACCAAACTGCGGGAGGCAGTGGAAGACAGAAGTGCCTGGCGTACTCTGGTCCATGGGGTCACGAAGAGTCGGACACGACTAAACGACTAAACAACAACAACAACACAGAGAGATTTTCCCAGCCCTGTTCCTTGGGGTGCTTTTAACCAGAGACTGGATGTGGAAGCTTCTGTAGGCCAAGCACTGAGCCACAGCCCCTGGACTTGACAGCAAAGTTCTAATAGTCTTGATCCAGTGCCATTAGAATCAGAGAATCATACAGTTGAAAGGGGCTTTCCAAACCCCTGCAATGCAGGAATTAAGAACTGGCTGTCAGGCAAAAGTTAACCACATAAAGCTTTTCCCATGTCTTTGTCTCTACTCCCTTGCCCAAAAAGCTTTGCCCATTTCATATCTGCATAGGGATAGGGATTATCTAAAATCTGCAGCAGCCTAACTCCCCGCTCCCTGCTGATTTTTACTGGTGCTATTGGATGGGTAGGGACACGGGTGGCTCTGTGGGTTAAACCACAGAGCCTAGGACTTGCCGATCAGAAGGTCAGTGGTTCGAATCCCCGCAATGGGTTGAGCTCCCGTTGCTTGGTCCCTGCTCCTGCCAACCTAGCAGTTCGAAAGCACCTCAAAGTGCAAGTAGATAAATAGGTACCGCTCCGGCGGGAAGGTAAACGGCGTTTTCCATGCGCTGCTCTGGTTCGCCAGAAGTGGCTTAGTCATGCTGGCCACGTGACCCGGAAGCTGTACGCCGGCTCCCTCGGCCAATAAAGCGAGATGAGCGCCGCAACCCCAGAGTCGGTCACGACTGGACCTAATGGTCAGGGGTCCCTTTACCTTTACCTATTGGATGGGTATGTAGATCAGGCCTGCCTAACTTGTGACTCCCCAAGTGGAACTCCACTAGCCATGTGTTATGAGCCACTGGGTGGCAACGAGTGAGCAAACCTCTACCTCTTATCTTTGCGGTCATGAACATTCCACCGGGGTCACTTGCAAAAGTGAGCACCCCATCTCAGATGCTGACAAGAATAAAGGTAAAAAGGTAAAGGACCCCTGGACGGTTAAGTCCAGTCAAAGGCAACTATGGGGTGCAGCGCTCATCTCGCTTTCAAGCCGAGGGAACCGGCGTTTGTCCACAGACAGCTTTCCGGGTCACGTGGCCAGCAGGACTACACTGCTTCTGGTGCAACGGGACACTGTGACAGAAACCAGAGCGCACGGAAACTCCGTTTACCTTCCTGTCACAGGGGTACCTATTTATCTACTTGCACTGGTGTGCTTTCAAACTGCTAGGTTGGCAGGAGCAGGGACCGAGCAACAGGAGCTCACTCCATCGTAGGGATTCAAACCGCCAACCTTCTGATCGGCAAGCCCAGAAGACTCGGTGGTTATTATCCTTGACCACTGTAGTTCAGCAAAAGTTACGCCTGGTGTAGAATCTCCCAGGTTAAACTCTCAGTATCTCTAGTTAGAAAGGAGCTAGAAAACAGCTAGAGACCCTAGAATCACTGCCCATCAAAGTAGATAACACCGTGCGAAAATAGCTGCATGTGCTAAAAGAGCTTGGAGCAACATTTTAGTCTCACATCCGCCCATGATCTCAGCAGCTATTAGCCAATGCCAGCTGAAATGGGTCTTCCAAAGGCAAAGACTCCATTTGATCAGGTGCCGGGGGTGTAACACAGAGGAAGGCGATCTCCATTACGTTAAAAGGCATCTGGCTGGCTGCTCTTGGAGTACAGCGCTGAACTAGACAGATGTGGAGTCTGGCCTGCAAAGTGAATTATTACAGTCTCATCCATGCGTGCTCTGCATTTGTAAGGTTATCAACAATATACAACTGGTGATAATCAGAAGCACCGATTTGCCATTGCATGAGCAAACAACTGAGAATGACTCCGTTGCCATGGGTGACATAAAGCTCTCCCAACTGCTGACAACTAATCCAAATCAATTAATCATATGAGCTTTTAAATCAATTAAATAAATTAAAACAGGTGGTTGAATGCAACTGCTCAGTGTTCCAACCCACCAACCAACCAACCAACTGTACGGTGTTTCAGGATATTCCATTCCATTTCACCTCCCTGGTTTTTTCCTATTTAACCACCCCCTCAACCAAACATTTTGTGACCACTGAGCATGTTGTCATGATTACTATATTATTATGCTGTGTATTGTGCTGCATAAATTCTGTTCTTAATGTTGTAAATCGCCCTGAGTTCTTTGGATACAGGGAGTATATAAATTGAATAAATAAACATTAATTATAATGCTGCAAGTTAACAGAATTGGCTGCATCTCATCATCCCTGGTCAAATATGGTTCTCTCTCTTTTTTTTAAAAATTCTTTTTATTAGTTGATTCCATAAGAGAATAGAAACTAACACAAAAATAAACATAGAAAGCAAAAAGAGAATAATACACAAACAAACAAAGAACAAAAAAGAGGAAGAAAATACACAAATTTATAATTTTCACATCAGTCCAATTACTTCGCTATCCCTTTCAAGACTTCCTTCAGCTTGTCCGTAAATCATTCGAAGTAGTCAATAAAGTTACGCATTTCCCGGCTTCTATTGCCATTATACCTTTCTCTATCTCCTATTTTCTTTGTACAATAGCTCATAGTCTTTCACAGTACATCTCTGAATCCCTTTAGCATTGTTTGTCCCTCACTAATATGTTCCAGGTAATCTACGTACTTTCCCCAATCCTTGATGAACTTTTGGTCTCTTATATACCTAATTTTTCCTGTCAATTTATCCAATTCCGCGTAGTCTAATAGCTTTAATCTCCACTCCTCCACCGTTGGTATTTCCTGCTGTTTCCACCTCTGGGCTAAGACTACCCTTGCTGCTGTAACTGCATAATATACTAGTCTACAATCTTCCTTTTTTATCTCGTGCCCCAGTACCCCTAATAGTAAGATTTCCGGTTTCTTTGTGAACGTGTATTTTAAGATCTTTATTTTGAA